CTTTGCCTTCTTTTAAATGGCATATTTGAATTCAGTGAAATGTTTTCTCCTATAATAGATTTGATTTACACAGTTATGTAATTTGAATAATTTTCTATGACAATTTAAAACAACTTGGGCCAAATGTTCAAAGATGCAATGCTAAAATTCTTTAAAACCTTGGATTATTTGTATGTCAACCAACATTTACAACATGTACATAAACATGGTCATCATGTGGTATATCATTCAAGTTTTATACAGATTCAACTAACACCCTTTGATAAATCATGAAATTAAGCAACTTTTCCAAGATTTTAACATGTAAGTGAATGGAACTCTAGCTCAAATTAAAAGCTGAATAAAAGATGGCAGCACTAGATTTCATTGGTTTTTCTTCTATTTAGAAACTATCCTATTGTGTGTAATATTGACATATTCAATTCTCTGTTAAATAATAAGCCATTTGCTCTTTTTATTTCTCCCAATCATTCCTATGGCAAAATGTGAGAAGAGGGCGCAGCGGAAGAAATTTTTAGTAAAAACTTTGTTGATAATAGAGCTCACAGCATTTGGTTTTAATAATCATATATAGATGGAACAAATTAAGTTCTCTGGAAATTCGGTCATAGATCATGTAGACTTACAACTTGTACATGAAGGTTTGACTTGGGCTGTGATTTTAGGGTGTTTGCGGTTTTGAGTTTGCTTTCCTTGATGAAGCATATACTTGATTAGTATTCTGTTGCTATTTCTTGCCTGGTCTTCCTGATTAAATGTGCATGATTTTCAATAATACTTATCCTACTCTTCTACTCTTATCATACATCTTTCATTACAAGCCTTTTTACATCACAAAGTCATTGTGTCGGGCTGTTGGTATACAGTAATGGTTTTCAATACAACACGCACGGATTGTGGTACAACGCACATCCTTTCCATCCATTTTTTCAGTAAATATTATGACGTCATTTTCCCCATAATTCACAAGTGTAGAACAGTAACATACACGGTCAATAAGATATCCCATAAAAAATGCACAGGTGGGGTACAGGCAAAAATGTTGACCACTAATTGACCAATCAGATGTGAGTATTTACACTGAGGTACTAACGATATGTGTAGTAAATATTGGAGTTCCTCTGGTTTAACACAGGCGCAAATCTGATGATAATGAAATTTGCATTTCTTTGCCAATTTCAGATAACAATTATTCAGAGCCTTAATAATAATAGGGTCCTTAGATTAGAGTACATGAATTTGGTTTCTAGACAACTCATTCCAAGACAACTCATCCCAAGACAAGTCATCCCTAAGACAAGTCATCCCAAGACAAGTCATCCCTTAAAGGGTGACGCATATCGTTTAGCAAATCGAACACTCGTTTCTGGTGTTGCTCCCCGTTTAGTATAAAAGGCCCGATCCCGGAATAATACTCAAGGGTTCACAGGTTCGAGGCCGTTGTGTCAACACCTCTAACTGTTATATAGCATAAGTATATAATAGATCGTCACACATTTATAAAAGGGTGATTTTTATTTTGACAAATCAATTTCACATTTATGGGTGAAGTTTCAGGATCTTCTATTTGTGTATAATAAGGAAAAATTGGCATCTAAATTTCCCCATAACGTAATAGCACACAGCTTGGAATATGAAATATCCTACAAATGAAACAAAGCAGTTCTAATACAAGGATTTATATTGGCTGTTGTACATGTATTCGTTGAACGCAATCACTCTTTGGATAACGTTTTCAAAATCATTATAAACGGATTACTTTATCTCAAATACAATTTAAATAAACTGGATTTTACAGAACTCCCCTTATTTCTTAAAAATGGACTGATCCAGTTGATTCGCCTGGAGCCGCCATATTGTTTTTATACGGGATGCTTATCGGAACCCTTTAAAGACAACTCATCCCAAGACATCTCATCCCAAGACAACTCATCCCACTAGTATAATTGATAAATTATTTAATAAGTCCTCTATATTATATATATATCCCTTTTTCATTTTTACGATTACAAAGTGATATTTGATTATACACTCAATCTAAATATTGATAATTTTAGCATTTCTAAATGGCACTTTAAAGTTATGTTCTACTTTTACTTTTTCTCAATATATTTGAGAATATAGAATTGAAGATAAAAGTCAAAGACATAATTTCCAAATTCAATCATCATAATTCTGAAAGTTTAAAATTGGAAATCTTATTTAAGAATAAGCCAAATATGACATATTGGAATTAAGCAAAATATTTTAAAACAAAGACTGAATTAATCTGGGGGAATTATTCTGATAATTTACCCTGGATAATACATTCTTATTGCTTTAATCCTAATCTGACACCTTTGATGATCTTTGATTTAATAATCAAAGTATATATTAATTTGAACATGTTTATCTTTATCCCAATCAATCAACAAAAATCAACTAAAACTGGACTTAACTAACTACAAAATAAAAAATATATTCCATGGCCAAACACAGTAGTGTGCTTACTGCTAAAATTTCTAAAATGTTTCAAATATTTATTTCAAAAGTTGAAATTAATTGTATAAATTTATGTTGTATTTCAAGTTGGGAAGAGTTATCTTTGGGATGAGTTGTCTTGGGATGAGATGTCTTGGGATGAGTTGTCTTGGGATGAGATGTCTTGGGATGAGATGTCTTGGGATGAGTTGTCTTGGGATGAGATGTCTTGGGGATGAGTTGTCTTGGGATGAGTTGTCTTAGGGATGAGTTGTCCTGTTACGCATGAATTTTAATCTCCTTCCCTGTTTGAAGAAAACTTCCTGTTAAACAACAGGGTCCTAACTATCACTCTATGCATACTGTGCTATCAAAACAAGCGGTGCGGATATCATGTGCACAAGGTGCGGATATTACTGGTCATTTTTGAATTTGATTTTGTGATGTTTCACAAACCAGTGGCAAAGCCAGGATTTGACTGTGAATTGTGTGAATTTCGTTCATTTGGACCATTTAGGGGCAAAAATCAAACCCTCCAAACCCCCTCTCCCTACGGCCCATCAATCTAAGGCATTTGGTATGGCATTGGTCCTATATTTATGCATTTGGTATGGCTTTTGGGGTTATTTGGTTGGTATGAAAACACATTGAAACTTGACAGATTAGTATGGGAACATATTGATATCTGAGGGTTCAGCCTTGGACCCCCACCAAAATTACTATACAGTGAACACCCCGGGCTTGTGTGATACTTGACAAACAAATCATCTTCAGTATGTTATCTAAGGTAACAGACATATAAACAGGCCTGTCAACTTGGGAACACCTAACATGAGTGACTTGGAAATGTTGAACACCTCTCCTCAAAATGTGGACACCTTGGTCCAAATCTGAACACCTTGATCCAAATTTTAATCACCTTGGTTTAAAGTTTATTACATCTTGCCATATACGTAATTCGCGTGAAAAGTCCGAACGAAATGCGTACATTTTTTTCCGGCGTTCGTATTTTTGCTGTGTAGACGATCTTTTTTTATAAATTTTTCTACAGAAATATTTTTGCTTGACAATTACCAGGGAAAATGCGTATTTGCGTGACATTTTCTGTCACGCAAAAATAACTGGCGTGACTTCAAATTCTTCAGCAAATGCGTGACAAATACGCAAATTGCGGGACAGTTGACAGGCCTGTATAAAGCATTTTATAATATACAATTTACTAGATTTTGACTGCATTAGAAAATTTAAATGCTTCTTATTATGTCTTGAGACTTATACAGGGTGGTCAAAAAAACTGGAAACCCTTACACCATTTTACCTAATATCTTTATTATTTTAAGAATTAACTTTGCACATTTGTACATCACTCAATTTCCTACCAGCCTACCATATTTTATGACCATCTGATTGATAGTCACCGTGTTACAGCACTTTAAAGAACAATCCCAGTGGCCATTATTGCGTCGAAGACCAACCTGCACATGTCATCCAAAATGTCCCAACCTATGGGGATATGGCAGAGATAGAGTGTATAATAATGACCCCAGGGCACTTGCAGGCCTCAAAAGTGAGATCATCTGTATCATTCAGGTCATACATGCTGAGGAATGCATTTGGATCATTGACAACTGTGCAGGTTTGCCTCCAGCGCGATGATGGCCAAACCTGAAGCATGTTGTTCAAAGTGCTGTAAAATTGTGACTATCAGTCTGATGGTCATGAAATATGGTAGGGTGGTAGTAACAGGCCTGTCAACTTGGGAACACCTAACATGAGTGACTTGGAAATGTTGAACACCTCCCCTCAAAATGTGGACACCTTGGTCCAAATCTGGACACCTTGATCCAAATTTTGAACACCTTGGTTTAAAGTTTATTACATCTTGCCAAATTTTGAACACCTCAAATTTTTCGCGTTCGCTACGCTCGCGTTTCAAACATCCGTCAACGGGGGGGGGGGGTAGGGACGAAAAATTTCGAACGGAATGCGTGACATATACGTAATTCGCATGAAAAGTCCGAACGAAATGCGTACATTTTTTTCCGGCGTTCGTATTTTTGCTGTGTAGACGATCTTTTTTAGAACTTTTTCTACAGAAATATTTTTGCTTGACAATTACCAGGTAAAATGCGTGTTTGCGTGACATTTTCTGTCACGCAAAAATAACTGGCGTGACTTCAAATTCTTCAGCAAATGCGTGACAAATACGCAAATTGCGGGACAGTTGACAGGCCTGTAGTAAATTGAATGATTTACAAATGTGTGAAATATCAGGGAGTAATTTCTTAAAATGACAAAGATATGTGGAAAATGCAGGGTTTCCATTTTTTTGACCACCCTGTATATGGAGACTCTTTTTATGGTGGTTAGTCTTGCTTCAAGACTGTGGACCCCCCCCCCCCCCTCCCTTATCTACTTCTCCAACATATTACAAGATGAAAAGAAGATAAGGAGGTCCAGGGTCTTGAAGCAAGACTATACTGTGGTAAACTCCAGAGGTAAACTGTGGTCACTTATATGGTTGTGATTTTTTTCTGTAGCCCACAGAGCATATGAGTTCTATGATGGCAGAAGAGTAATGCAAGCACAAGTGGGTGAGAAGACTGTAGACTTCCAGAAACTTATAGTGGAGCACCAGGATGCCTTTCAGGCTGGAAACCCATACCCAGATGCTTATTATAATCCCATCTGTCAATATGGTAAGATATATGAAATTATGAGCCATAATAGAATCTTGGGCCCTTAGATCCAGAGCCTGTATGGTCCTCAACGCAGTTACTGACAGCTATATTACGCTAGTTGTGATTGTAGTAACAGCTTACTATACAGTATCGTTACAGCCATATACACTGATACAGTAGTTATGGACATTTCTAAGTTGGAATGAATTTCAACCTCTGAATTTCGGAAGTTCCTCACTTGTGTAAAGACAATTATTGGTATGATTGATATTGATCTTGATATGATGTAAAATTATGAATTTCAGGTGTATACCATGATATATCTGAGGATACCCATTGGACGCCATTCATGAATGCTACCATTAACTACATAAGAAACCACTACCCTCCACCTTGGAATAAGGTATGACATAGTCTTTGTAAAATAAAATAAAAATGAAACAGGAGATCAATGAAAAAGAATTATATTGGCAAAGGAATTAACTATCGATTCCAACTGAAATCTAGTCATTCAAAGTTGTAAGTGCTCATGCTCTATATACAATGTAACAAATCCAACCATTATAGGAAACTTTAAAATTCACAAAATCAGAGATATTAGTATGAAATTCTTAGTGATTAGATTTTTGAAGTGATAAGTTGTTTTGGTTTGACTTAAAAATTACAATTGATTATATGCCTGTTATATTCCAACTAAAAACTTATACTTGGATATAGTGTGCCCTTGTATGTCATCTATTGGTCTGTCCATTTATCTGTCCGTCTATCCATCCATCCATCCATCAACTCGCCCACCTATCCATCCATGCCACCATTATGATATTTAAAGGTATTTATTTTACATCCAAATGCATGAACAGCAACATTTGAAAATAAAAACAATATAACCCTCTTTATGGATATTTGATATATATTGTTTGTTGGAATTTGCTATGTACCATTATAATTTTATTGAGGTCCAATTTTAGTAATACGCTTCAAAATAAGAATAAAATACATTGCAAGTTGCTTTCCTTTTAAAAACAATGTGACCTTATTGGATGTTTAAAAATCACTTTATAGTGAAGTACTGATCATAAAACATTAACCACTGATGCATCATGGGATTGGTAGGCATAACCGTAAGAGGGTGCCACAGCCACATTGATGACCTTGAAGTTGACAGATGAAACCCACCACCCCTATAACATTATTTTTGTGGATAATGTTTGGTGGTCGGCATCTGTAACAACTGGCAGGTGGTGACATTTTGCAAATCAAAACATGGTTGCCATCTCAGATTCTGAAAGAAATTGAAAGCTTGTCATTGTTTCTTTCCTTTTACATGTACCAAATGAAAAGGTGTTAATTGAGTAGGTTTTTATGTTAGCACCACAAGTTTTTTTGGATGGTGTTTGGCAGTTGGTGTTTGGTGGTTGGTGCCAAAACTCAAAACATGGGTGCTATCTCAGTTTCTGGAAAAAAACATACGTATCTGATAACATGTTGCTTTATGAATTGTTTCTTTCCTAGTACCTTCTACTAAATACAGATGCCCTCAAGCGTATCCTTTCAAATGATTTCTTTTAAGCAAATTAATTTTTCTGTTAATAGATAGTGGATATGAGTGAATCTCTTTTGCCATCTGCTTGATGAATCAAAACTCACATGGACAAGTTATAATACATAAATATATGCTGTCATTGAAAACGTCTTCATTTAGAAATATCAGTGAGAACAAGGTTTGGTAAAATATGACTTATATATGTACTGTATTCAGGTTCGTATTCAGGATTTTCCAAGAGTGAGTACACTTTTTACAAAAAATTCCAGGGTGTTTGATTTTGACAATTTTGCCAAAAAATGAGTTACGTTATGATATATGATGATATGATATAAAGTTATGTGTGTATTTTCATAATTATTATGTCACCACCAAAAAGTGGTGACATTGTTATGGTCTCCGTTTTTTTGTGACGGCAGTTGGCGATTGGCGGGTGGCAATCAGCGGGTGGCGTCTGTAACAAATTTTAAAACTTCCAGTAACTTAACAAATATCGTTTAGAATGACTTCAGTTTTTTTCAAAATCATCTACAAGTTTTCAGAAGTTCAAATCTGACTTTATATTTAATACTTGACCTTCCGTGACCTTTTCAATGTGAAAAAGGTAAAAAATGTATTTTTTCAACATGCTTCAAATTGACCAATTTTTTCAAAATCATCTACATTATTAAATTTGAATTTAGATTTGTGATTTGACCTTCATTTATTTTCTCAATGTCAGAAATTGGTCAAAAAGGTCTTTTTTCAACTTGCTTCAAATTGACCAATTTTTCAAAATCATCTAGAAGTTCTCAAAAGTTCAAATCCGACTATAAATTTGACCTGCAATGACATTCTCAAGGTCAAAAAGGTATTTTTCAACTTGCTTCAAATTGACCAATGTTTTTAAAGTCATCTAGAAGTTCTCGAAGTTCAAATCTGACTTGATTTGAGATTTCACCTTCAATGACCTTCTCAGGGTCAAAAAAGGTCTTTTTTCAACTTGCTTAAAGATTGACCAATTTTTTTCAAAATGATATTTACAAGTTCTCAGAAATTCAAATCTGACTTAAAGGGGCAATAAGGCCTGTAGAGAGAAAATAGGAACAATTTTACTTTTTCTGAGCTATCAAGGTAACATTTGACTGAACATCATCTTTGACATGCCTATTTTCCTCAAATGTCAATTTCAGCATAAAGAAGTGTAAATTCGGTTCAAAGCTTCAAAAAGGGGAAATCCACATTTTGATTTATAGGATCCACCATGTTTCAAGAGGAATATCAGCTGAAATAATGTTTATCTAGGGGGTTTCTTTATAGATAATAAAAATATATGTTAGTCTTGATGAAATGTCCAAACATAAATATATTTTGACACTTGCCCATGATCTGCACTAATTGTTGCAACTTTAAGATGAACTAAAAATAATTGTGAGCAAGTAGGTGGTAAAATTTGTCATGTTAATGCCTTGTTTATTATTATTTCACCCCAATTATTTAAAAATACTAAAAAAGCATAAACATAACAGGTTATTTATAGGTGATTTTATTCTATTCTCTTTTTCCTATAATTTTTGGGATAACATACCTGCCAACCTACCGTATTTTTACGGGAATCTACCGTAAATTTTTCGTTTTTCCGTAAAAAAATGACAAACTACCGTAAAAAAAATACCATTTTTTCCCGTAAAAACGCCCGTAAAAAAATCTACCGTATTTTTTTCGTAATCTACCGTAAATTTTCTTTGTAAAAAACTCGTTTATTCCATGAGAACGGCCGTAAAATCTACCGTAAATTTTTGAAAATCTACCGTAAATTTTTGAAAATCTACCGTAAATTTTTGAAAATCTACCGTAAATTTTCGAAAATCTACCGTATTTCTGCTAAAATCAACAGTATTTTTGTTCAAACTACCGTAAAATTTCCCGTTGTTGTTATTGGGACGGCTTCCCTATGTTATATGAACATTATGTCTGTCATTTCAATTCGTTAAAATGATAGATCATCTAAGATGGTGAGTAAAAACGTGTAAAATCCATATTTTGTATTTCAGTAAATGTTTCATTCATGGTATTTCCAAACATCCTGATATCTAAAAAAAACTGGTTAGAAGGTGAATAAAAGTGGAGATATGAATATTGTGTTCGTATTTTGAATCAATCTAGATTTATTGTAAAAAAGTTGTATATGTACATTTTGCTGAAACATTAAAATCCAAAGTTGCTGTCAGTCCATTGTAGGCATGGTAAATGAAGAATAAAAAGTGTTTAGTCTCTATTTATTCTTGAAAATAGTATATCTATTTTTTCTTGAAAATATTAGTTTCGTATAATTCTCAGGTGGTAGTTCTGCTTTACAAACTGTAATTATCAAAATCACTCTTGCAGTAAAATATGTATTCACAATAACAACAACAATATGACCACGTAAACATTGTATTAATATAGAAAACCGCATTGTATAAAGGTTTAACTACCGCATTTTTCAAAATCTACCGAAGAATACCGCATTTTGGCAAATCTTCCGCAAAAGTACCAGTTTTTCAAAAAATTACCGTAAAAACTACTGCAGTTTTCAAAATCTACCGTAAAACTACCGCATTTTTTCAAAATCTTCCGCAAAAGTACCGGTATTTCAAAAAATTACCGTAAAAACTACCGCAATTTTCAAAATCTACCGTAAAACTACCGCATTTTTTCAAAATTTTCAGCAAAACTACCGGTTTTTCAAAAAACTTCCGTAAAAACTACCGCATTTTTTCAAAATCTACCGTAAAACTATCGCATTTTTTCAGAATCTTTCGCAAAACTACCGGTTTTTCAAAAACTACCGTAAAAACTACCGCATTTTTAAAAATCTACCGTAAAACTACCGCATTTTTTCTAAATCTTCCGCAAAACTACCGCTTTTTTCAAATTTCTACCGCAAAATTACACTTTTTTCAAAAATCTACCCCAAACCTCTGAAACTACAGTATTTTTTTAAAATCTACCGCAAAAACTACCGTATTTTTTAAATCTACCGCAAAAACTAACGTTTTTTTTAAAATCTACCGCAAAAAACTACCGTTTTTTTCTAAAATCTACCGCAAAAACTACCGCAATTTTGTTGAAAAATACCGCAAAAACTACCGTATTTTGAAAAAATCTACCGCAAAAATACAGCAGTTTTAAAAAAATCTACCGCAAAATTTTGGTTTTAGGTTGGCAGGTATGGATAATGTAGCAGATAAGTGCAAAGTGTTAAGTGTACAGTTCTACTGCAAATTTTCCCTACGGTATTGTTGCTCTACAGTAGCACTTGATTTTGTTGCTTTTTGGTTCATCACACTGGCATCCCGTTCCTTCCTCACAATTCCCCTTCCGTTTAAAGCAGTCATTCTTTATTTCCCCACATTTCTTATTTTCACGAATCTCTTTACTTCTGCTACTGCTACTGCTGCTGTCAGACTGTTTGAAAACAATTAGAAAATATAAGTTAAGAATTCAATAACTAAATGTTTCTTTTGTGTCTCTGTCGCAGAGCATACAATGAATCCCAGGGATAAGAATGTGGACTAAAAGATGCATGGGCTGTTATTATCATTATGCAAAATGTAACAAGATAGTAAATGCAATACCAAGCAGCTACACCGTGTTTTTGATTCATGGTTTTTAATGTTTACATTCATTTAGCATTTTACTGGTCTGTAATAATCAATAAACAGAATATACTAAAAATATTTTCTTGCTATTCTGTCCATGTCATAAGTATATGCAAAATATATATCAAGTTACCCCAGAATCACAATCAGGTACTGTTGTTGCTGGATCAGAAGTCGATGTTGCTGGATCAGAGGTTGTTGTTGCTAGATCAGAGGTTGTTGTTGCTGGATCAGAGGTTGTTGTTGCTGGATCAGAGGTTGTTGTTGCTGGATCAGAGGTTGTTGTTGCTGGATCAGAGGTTGTTATTGCTAGATCAGAGGTTGTTATTGCTAGATCAGTTTCAGAGGTTGTTATTGCTACCTGTAGATCAGTTTCAGAGGTTGTTATTGCTAGATCAGTTTCAGAGGTTGTTATTGCTAGATCAGAGGTTGTTGTTGCTGCATCAGAGGTTGTTGTTTCAGGCACTGCTCTGCAGTAACACTTGATCTTTTTGGATTTTTGCTCATCACACTTGCATTCTGTTCCTTCCTCACATTCCCCTTTCTTTGGTTTGAAGAAGTCATACTTTATTTCCCCACATTTCCTATTCTCACGAATTTTTTTACTCCTGCTACTGCTTCCGCTACTGTCAGACTGTTTGAAAAGAATTAGAAAATATTACTTGATCATTAGACAAATAAATGTTTCTTTCATTTCTTTCTTTGGCGTTAGTCATATTATTATCCCCAGAGTTAATGTTCATGTTCACAACAAACTTGACCAAATAGAAAAATTCAATTTAGCATATTAATTGAGAGGCTGATATAAAAGTGACATTTATCAATGAGTAAGATATGTGATTTCTGTTTTTCAGATCACCCTGTATTTTTAACAACTAATATTATTGATAAAGTTAGTCTCACTTCATCTCTTGGGATGAGTTGTCTTGGGATGAGATGAGTTGTCTTGGAATGAGATGTCTTGGGATGAGTTGTCTTGGGATGAGATGTCTTTGGATGAGTTGTCTTGGGATGAATTATCTTCGGATGAGTTGTCTTGAGATGAGATGTCTTGGGATGAGTTGTCTTTGGATGAGATGTCTTGGGATGAGTTGTTTTGGGATAAGTTGTCTTGGGATGAGATGAGTTGTCTTGGGATGAGATGTCTCGGGATGAGATGAGTTGTCTTGGTATGAGTTGTCTTGGGATGAGATGTCTTCGGATGAGTTGTCTTAGGATGATATGTCTTGGGATGAGTTGTCTTAGGATGAGATGTCTTTGGATGAAATGTCTTCGGATGAGTTGCCTTGGGATGAGATGTCTCCAGATGAGTTGTCTTGGGATGAGATGTCATGGGATGAGTTGTCTTAGGATGAGATGTCTTTGGATGAAATGTCTTCGGATGAGTTGCCTTGGGATGAGATGTCTCCAGATGAGTTGTCTTGAGATGAGATGTCTTGGGATGAGATGTCATGGGGTGAGTTGTCTTGGGGTGAGATGTCTTGGGATGAGTTGTTTTGGGATGAGATGTCTTGGGAATAGATGAGATATCCCGGGATGAGATGTCTTGGAACGAGTTGTCTTGGGATGAGATGTCTCCAGATGAGTTGTCTTGGGATGAGATGTCATGAGATGAGTTGTCTTGGGGTGAGATGTCTTGGGATGAGTTGTTTTGGTATGAGATTTCTTGGAAGGAGTTGTCTTGGGATAAGTTGTCGTGGGATGAGATGTCTTGGAATGAATGAGTTGTCTTGGGATGAGATGTCTTGGGATGAGTTGTCTTGGGGATAAGTTGTCTTCGGATGAGTTACCTTGGGATGAGATGTCTCCAGATGAGTTGTCTTGGGATGAGATGTCTCCAGATGAGTTGTCTTGGGATGACATGTCATGGGATCAGTTGTCTTTGGGTGAGATGTCTTGGGATGAGTTGTTTTGGGATGAGATGTCTGAGAAGGAGTTGTCTTGGGATGAGTTGTCGTGGGATGAGATGTCTTGGAATGAGTTGTCTTGGGATGAGTTGTCTTGGGATGAGATGTCTTCGGATGAGTTGTCTTGGGATGAGTTGTCTTGGGATGAGATGTCTTCGGATGAGTTTTCTTGCATTATGCTTAGATATTTTGTAAGATTATGCCATCAATTGAAATATCTTACCAACACTAAAGTTGCCGTTAGAGCAATGAACACCAGGAGTAGATATACTTGTATATTCATCTCTATATACTGTACTGCTTCTAAGGATACTGAAATGATAAAACTGGATTACAGTTTTAGTCTGAATAAATCAAATGTTCTTTTTGTTTCTGATGTATTTTGTGGCTTTTTAGCGTCTTTATTCAATTTCTTCAATTTTATGTTCGGTATTTCAATTTTGCTATTTGAATTTCCACTTATCAATTCAAATTCTTTTACAATTTTGATTTTTTCAATTCTATGTTTGATAATTTGTATATTGTATTTCTTGTTTGATATTACACTTTTCAATTTAAACATTCAAAGTTTTTATTCAATTATAGTAATATTTGTTTAAAAATCAATATCAGTGTTTGATATTTTAAATTATCCCACGATTAATGTGTTATCTGTACAATAACAGCTATTGATATTTCTGATATTATTGAAAACCGTGTGATATTTTCCAGAAAATCGTTTATCAAACTCATATGCGTGTGATATCGTTTATCTCACGCATATCCGTGTGATATCACATCTGCATTTCGCGCCACAATATTGTTGGAAATTAGGTCAGATAATTTATTCTCTTTTGAGAAAATTGGTCCATTAATTTATTCCCTTTAAGTTTCATTGGTGTATTGAATTACAATTGTGTATATAATTTGATAAGAAGGCTGCTAACTAACGATTAAAAAATGGTATTTATGACGAACAATATCATGTTATTTACTTTTAATTGTTAAAGTCCCCGTCTAAAGTTTGAAAATATTTTTTTATCATTCATTTACTATTTGTCAGAACTTAAAAAGTGATTTTAGAGATTTTTGAACAAAAAAAAATTTTTGAAAAAAAAGTTGTGAGCATTTCATTTCTCAAATATTCAAATTTCCCGCCATTTTTCAAAAAAAGTTGAAATTTCTTAATCATCAAACATTTCTTAATGCATTTCAAAAAAGATTATTTTTTTAACACCAATGCAAAGATTGAACAAAAGACACACTATTTCAATAATAAAATGTCATATTTAATGGGCCACTTCAATGTTTTAGCTTATCAAAAATATTTTGAAACATTAGTGATGTCACTAAGGTAACAAAAACTTTTTGAAAAAAATTGAATTTTTTTTTTCAATGTCAATCTTTTCTAAATATGCTAGACTTTCATAAAAAACCAATGTTGATTGTCTAACCAGGTTAAAAGGAAGAATAAATCATGTTTTAGATATCATTGTACCATTGGTTTCTATGAGAACTAAAATTTTGAAATACATTTTTCTCAGAACCATTTTCATGCACTGATAAGTTCATTTCTCGCTTGTTTATCAACCGATTTTCTTAATTTTTTTCGGCAAAAAACATGGGAGGATGAATGCTATGAATTGGTATGAATTGTGGCTAATTAGAAGATATGAGTGACCTCGTAAAGTTGGTTTTAAATAAATTCACAAATTTTGGAACAAAAAGTCTATCAAAAACCACTTTTTGAAATTAAAAAAAAAAGTTTCACATATCACACTTTGATAACATTGGGTAAGACTACAATATAAGCCAAAGTGGTTTAAACTTTACATGGGGCCTTTAAAATAAAGTGTTTCAAATATTCAATTGATATTCTAATTTCTAGTTTATATTGTCTGCCAATGTCCTGGAAATTGGATCAGAACATCACAAGGTGATTGTAATCATGGGATAAACCCAATATCACATAATTTCTCGTGATATAATTTTATCACCTCATAGATATCCAATATCAACACTCATTCACTTCGCTCACTCGTGTTTATATTTGCTATCAACTCGGCGATAAAAATGATATCACTCAAAATGATGTGATATTCTGTATTTAGCAATTGCACATCTATCAAACTGCAAAAAAACAATTTCGAAAATTGAAAACACAAACACAAAAAATCAAAAAAAATCCAAACTATACTTCTTTCAATTTGCATTCCAAAAGTTGGTAAAATAGTCAAAATGGTAAAATGTTCGAAAAAATGTGATTGATGTTTTAAATTAATCACATGCTAGAATCACAGAATCACATGTGAAAATAGTGCAATCTTGGTCAACTCAAAATATACATAGGTCGAAGTTGACTAGGGTCAGAATTGACCGAGTTGATTATCATAAGCAATAATTTCTGTTATAGGGGATAAACTATGAGCACTGGTTTTCAGGAAAAGTAATTTGAATCAGCCTTATTCATCAAATATATTCCTTATGAAATGACAAACAAATAAAGAAATATAAGTGAATTTGTGATTTATTATTATGCATGTATGCCAATAGAAAATATAGAATGATTTCTTACCTTGTCTTTTTTCAAGCTCTCCGAGAGTGCAACTGAGTTTTGTATGAAATGTTGAGATATTTAAAGGATACCTTTGAACACATCACCAGATGCTGATTGGTTCAGTGTGGAAGTGTCCTTGAGTTTGCCACGCACACGGCATGCGTGTTGAGGAACACTCATCATATAATCTCAATTAATTGATGGAAATTGTTATATATATGTATTTTATGACACTACACTGAAGTTTATAATCATACATGTCATTTCAGGATTTTCTCTTTGCTATAACAATGTAATAACCCTTGATAACAAGTTGCTACTACAGCCTCAGCTGTAGTGGCTGGCCCTTATGTCTTATGGTAGAGCATCGGACTCTTGAACAAATTTGGGCCCACTTTTGGGTTTTTATTTCTGCACAAGCGCGGTAGTTTTTTTTCTCTGACCTGAAATTTGACCCCCCCCTTGTTGGTTCCCAGATCCACCCCTGATCCAAAAGATCACAATTAAATTGACGATGTGTAAAATTTTCAGAATGTTTTGATGACTGGTTTAAGAGAAACGTGTGTTCAAAAAGTTTACCATATGGATACCACTCCTTCATAACTCGAACCTTAAATTTTGTGAACTTCTTATTTTGACCTCTTTTCGCGATCTGGAGTCACGAGACAGTATAATTGACGAAAAAATTATTTCCATGATTTCTGTAGGAAGTCTCACCGGCAAGCGGGAATCCCATGGCATGGAGGTGCATGCGCATCACTCAACTTCCTGAAAAGCCATCTTGAAAATGATCAACTCCGATCAGATTTTCATCAATATATTTCTTCTTCCACTCCGGATAGCCCAATATGGTTAGAAAAACGATACTTAAGAATGTTATGCATTGATTGAAGTAGGGTGTTTCCAAGTTTTCTACATTTTTACAAAATAAAGTTACTTGGAATATCAAGATTTCCAAAGCTATCTCTCAGGTGATAGCTTTGTGCAAACTATTCTCATCCTTTCTTCCTATTCTATCCTTTATCCTTCTGTCCTGTTCTATCCTATCGTTCCTTCCTATATCCTATACTTCTTATCCTATTCCATCTTGTCCTATCCTATCTAATGTGAGTTATAAAATAAGGGTAGAATTTTCTCAGGAATCAGAATCTGCAAACCAAACTGCGATACAACTTCCTGTCCGAAAGTTAATGCGTTTTGAAAATCCGAGAAAAATTGATCTGGTATCCTCATAGAAAGTCAAGAGTACTGAAAAAATATTAAAAATGTATCTATTTATCTATTTATCAATTTGATAATTGATGTTCCCTACCTATTTATCTAATCTAATGTAATCTAATCTATATCTATCTATCTTATCTATCACTTAAAACAAATCTGTCATATGGAGTCTAAAATTGAACTTGTTCAATTTCCCCAGTCTAGTTATATTACAATTTTAACTCGAGATTTTTAAAAATACGAATAGAGAAATTTGTGTCCATTGAAAATACATAGCAAAATGGGTAGCTCAGCTCTAATCTTTCGATGTTACAAAAAACTCGGAATTGAATTGTCCTCCATTTTTAATATCCTCAAAAATTGGCTTAGAAATAGAATGCATATAGAACAACATGTGTATCCTAGCCTGCTTACAGGACTCATTATCTGACAGACAGATTTGAGAATCACTTTTGAATACATATGGATTATCTACTCATAAATATCAAATCAACTTGTAATCATGTGCTCCTTTTTCCAATAGATTAATTGCCTCATTCAACATGTGACATTAGCAGATGCAAATGATCAGTCTCTTGAAAAAATAAGTTGCAAGCATTTTTAGAATGACTTGAAAGATGACGTCATAATAATGTCACTTTATCGAGTAATCATCAAATTGAAACTAGTTCTCTGACACCACACAAATAATAATTACATGTATTGTAAGAAAAACTTGTGATAATGAAGCCCTCCGTCTCACTTAGGCACAAACCGTAGAGACAAGTAAAACAATAGTATAATTTTGAGACTCCTAAATGGTGACACAAATACTTAAATTGTTAGAGATTCTGATATATCTCTAATGTCTGTCCTTTAATATCTGCCAATTTAATCAAGGGTGGAGTAAATGGTACATCGTGACCTAGAAATTCATGAATATTCGTTGAGATTTTCTACTCTGTGGAGTTAGAAACTAGGTTGACTTGAGTAAGATGATCTCAGCAATCCCATTTTATATATAGTGCACTGCTGATATAAGTGCACTGCTGAAATAAATGCTCTGCTGATATAAGTGCACTGCTGATAACACAGGTGATATTAAAGTACAATTATGTATCCTCACCCTACCCCCAACTATTGCCTGTAATTATATACTAAAGCTGTAATATCATATCATATGTGGCCTACCCCGAGTGGCCTATAAGTAAATGTATGGTAAAAACATAACATAACAATTGGACATATAATTTAAATGAGTTTATTTATATGATGACTTGATTAATCTTATATTGTAATATTGTAAATAACCTGATGTATACAAAGGTACAGTCTTATTGGGATCCCTTTAAGGACTTAAAAAATTTCATGAAAACGCAATTATAGATTTTTGAAAAACAAAGTTCAGAATATTCTTGACTGATATTTGTATTTTTATTTTCTTGAAAAATATAGTGAATATTTTTGTAAAAAAATATGATTTCTGGGCCATTTCTGTAACCACTCCCATCATGGCAGATTATTTGTGAAATTTAGTGTTCTTTAGAAAATGTAGTAAATAAAGCCTTAAAAACAATTTTCAAGTATTATTTAAGTGAGTTATGCATAATTTAATCCCTACTGAAGAGTATCCAGCAGATTTATGTGTGATGATGCATGATATGTGGCATAAAAAGGGATTATAATCCAGACCCCCATTATTTACCATTCTCAATTGAATAGAACCATGGTTCATTGAATGGACAAATTCACTGTGCGCTATGTTCTCCACCACTTTTATTTTTAGCTGTGTTCAGTTGCAAAAAAAGTGGTGGAGAACATAGCTCATATAGTTTTTTGAACTTCTTTGGTATTTTTTCTAAAACATTTCTGCCACCATTTTGGATACAATGCCACCTATTTGGGAGTTGCCAGACATGAAGGCTATCAATTTTCAAAAGATTTCCTAGGTGACTCTCTCCATGATGCCAAAGACTTGCCTTTATCCGAGGATAGCGATACTGACATGGAATAGTTTTAAAATAACTAAAATATCTGTTAGGGGTTGGGTCAAAATATCGATGTCAATCGAAAAACGTAAATAATTTCATAAGGGGAAGGGGGTCAAACACTGATTTAATTAGTTGACGGACATCGATTTTCGTTTTCCTAGGAATTTCAATTTTCAAGATTTTTGGTTTTGTTACAAGGGGGAGGGGGGGGGTTACACCTAAATAAATTAATTACGTTTTTTTGATGGACATCGATATTTTGACCCCACCCCTTAGAAACTGTACATTCAACTTTCAGCAACTGTACCTATTGGTACCCATAGAAATTCAATAAATACTAATATGTTGTATCAAAGCTTTAGAATATTAATATCAAATATATTACAATACAATATTTTGACAGTATACCAGTACGTGTATTTTGACAAAAAAATTTCCTTGTGTTAAGTATGGTGTATAATACTACTCAAAGGCTATTGAGGTACCTATTCCCCGTGGAAATAAATGTAAAGTCAGGTTTAACTCATGATTTGAATTTATTTAGGTATGTTTAAGGAAATTACTTGATCATTAGATCGATTTTACCAACTTGACCTTTTTGCACCCAGTGACCTCATTGGCTCATCATTTGACCTAATTTTGAAATATTATTGTGAAGTACATTTGTGAGGATACTCTAGATGCAAAATAAGTTTGATTCTGATGGGGGCAGAAAAGGAGGTCTGTTGGGACGGTACCTTTATAAAATGAGAAATATATACATGAATTAAAAAAAAGAAAAAAAGAAGTGATAAAATGACCAGTATCATTGAATTGTAATAAGATTACCCAAGTAAAAAAGAAATCTAATATACCACTAATACATCACCAATAGATCACCACCAATACACCACGAAAAGTGATTTAGTCAAGTGGTTTATAAGTTAGTGTCCGAGTGAAATGAAATACTAATATCACAATTTAAACTTGACATTAAAGTAATCTCGCAACATTGTTAAGGAGGCCACTTAGGTTATCGCAAATAAGTTCAGACCATTACAGATTAACACTATTTTCTGACCATGAAGACAGGCATATCTTCTAGGTGGCGCCACCTGGGTGCAAATGCCTTAAAAATAGAACCCCACTTGAGAAATCCTGGATACAGGCTTGCTCATACAATTCAAGACCTTGAAACATGTATTCAAAAATTATTAAGATTTCATAAAATAGTTTTTCTCAGCATATTGAAAATGGAGAGTTAAGATGATTCATTCAATTTTTTTGCAATATTGTAATCACAGAAAACATATGATTTGTAACATTTTTAGTATTAAAAAAAACACGACACAAATCATATCTTAATTGTTCTTTATGATTGAAATATGAATAAAAACTTTTAAGAATAACCCCCAACTTACCATGTTTAAGTATAATGTACTAATAATATTAAATATGATTGATTTAATGTTTATGTGTTGTGTTTACAGGCCACAGAGAAGTTGATTGTGTTCCTACTTGGGCTGATCTCCCATCAGGTGGCTGATGTGTCTTGGCACAGTCTTGGCATTAACCATGGCTTCCTCTCTGTCATGGGGGATGTGAGTAGTAATACTTCTTTGCCCCTGATGTTTTTTCTGTTCTCCCATTTTTGATTTTCCTGCTTTTTGGCTTACATGATGAGCCAATGGAGTTGCCCACTTGTCTATTTTTCTGTCCATTCAATCATCTAGTTAAAACTTGGTATTTTTTCATTGTGGTCATTTGTAATTTTTATGAAGAAGTTGTGACATATTGTTAGTCTCTAACTTTTTGTGGACGGTGATCGGCAGTCAGCTTTTGGCGTTCAGCAATTTTAACAAATGGCAGATGGTGACATTTTGAATTTTAATGCCTTGTATCATGTTTTATGTATCCAAAAAAATGCATATATAATTTGTCACGTGGTATTTCAGGGAAAGCAGCGGCTTTGTGTATCATTGGGCAGTTTTGGCATTCCCTTGAAAATTATAACATGGAAAAATAGTTTACATACATAATTCTACATCGAGTATTATTATCTAAAATTATCTATTATTATCTAAAATTTAAAATATACTATTGATCAAATAACCAAAAAATGAAAGAAGATAAAAACACCCCACCATGCATAAAAGAATACCTGGTTAAAATGTAGTTCCTCCATTTAACTACATGATGATCATCATAATTTTATTAATAGGTAAATTATCATGGCTCATTTGATAATGCTCACTCTGATGGAGATCCTGGTGGTGATGTCTTGAACCAGTATGAATTGAATACAAACTATATACATGAACTCTCGGATTGGTGAGTGTTGTGATTTTACATTTTTAAGGCTGGGCTCAGACAGGGCAAGTTAGATTAAGAATAGAATCACTTACATTTATTTTTAAAAGATAGTAAAGGACAAGGTGCAATTATTGGCAAATATCCCTATGGTCGAAATGAATCATTCGTAGGTGTAACATGAAGAATAAAATGTCATATAATACTTTGGAAAATATTAAAGTGCTCGGACACACATAAGCTGAGATAGGGATCATTTCGTTCAGTAAGGTTGTATTGACTTACATGGGGCTGTGCACCATTGACTTAACATGAGGATATCAGCAGATCCCAGTAGAGGCCATTGGTTTCAATTGATTATCACAGAAATACCCAAAATACACTATGACCTGAATCGATTGCAAACTTAATAATTTCACAATACGACACAAATGGTTTATCTCATCAAATGTGCAAATATGAAGTTTGCAATCGATTCAGGTCATACTTAAAATTAAAAGATTGTACATTTTTCATCATTTTTTCCCCTACAAAATGGCTATAGAAAAATGCTCAAAAAACAACTTTTACACTTATCAAATATCATACAAGTTTGTAAAACAAAAGATTATACTATTATATTTCATTATGTAGTAACATATTTGGATAAGATGCAGGGATGCGTAGGATGTAAATGGATTTTGACAGACACAAAAATACTTCCTGGTTTGGAATCTATGCCTCTACACTTCGTGATTGAATTATGACCCTAATAAGTGGCCTATACATCAATACAGTGCTGAATATAGGTCAACAAGATACTAGTGTGCATATAAATGTAATAATTGAAGCAGAATACTCATTTTGAAAAATCAGATGAATTATTTTTTTCCCATGGGGAGATCCCAATGGCGGGTGTATAAGGTCCTTTAATTCAATAAAAGAATCTGTGAATGCTCATTACAGTTTCAGACTTTTTTTGGACAACATTGAAATATTGACTGATATACTTTACTGTAAATATAATTATCCTATGATCTGTAAAATGAAGCCCTCTGATTGGTCAGTTCTTGTGCTGTACCAATCTGTATTGCTACTGAGATTGTCCCCGTTGATCATCTCCGTCGCAATACAGAAAATATTGGTACGGAGGGGACAATCCCAGTAGCAATACAGAGGATCACATGATAAAAATGTTATTGAATGAATTGAAGTGCAATACAGGATATATTCTGTCTCGATGTTCTGTATTGGCACTCGACTTCGTCTCTTTCCAATACAGAATTTCTTGAGCAGAATATATCCTGTATTGCACTTCAAATCATTCAATAAGTTATATTACATGTGTATGCCTGTTGTAGGTATGTACCAGTGGATGATCTTGTAAACATATACAGAGAGCTCTATGGGGCTGATAGGATGCCTGAATCTGTCATTGAAGAGTGTACAATGTTTCTGTTCCTTGGCAGGTATACTGGGATTTTATTATCATGCGAAGCTTACTAAACACATGTTATTCAATGCCAATACTTCATGTGTGGAATCATGGGGATCAGCCTCCATTGTTTGAGATGAGTTAGTTATTCTTGCATAGGTTTTGCTGACTCTTTGAGCAGATGGGTTGTAAAATGTACAAAGTACACAGGCAAATTACATTGGACCCCGTACAAGCCCTTATGGAGCTCGTTGAGTCAACGGGCCCTGTACAACATCGTATGGGCCTCGTTAAGAGTCTCGTAATTGCTTGTAATTTTTGAGCCTCCTGAGAGCTTGTAATTACACGGCCTGTAATAGTCCGTAATTTACTTGACTGTACGGTTCCCATAACGAGCCCTGTAATAAATCATAATTTTCGAACCCCGAACTTGCTCGTACAGTGCCTGTTATGAGGCCCATAATAGCTCATAATTTTCAAGCCTTGTACTTTAATGCCTGTGCGATGCCCATAACAAGGCCCGTAATGGCTTGTAATTTTCAAGCACTGTACTTGTCCGTATGGGGCCCATAACGAGGCTCGTAATTGCTTGTTTATTTTAATAAACTGAATTATGCCCACATCCAAACATTATCTTGGCTATTTTATGGAAAACATTTTTAGAAAATGTGAGAATTTCATCCCATATGATTACCTCTTTGGCTTTGCCTCGCCTTCCAGCTAAAATTTGCCTCACCTCTGATGATGTGATTGCATTGTCCTCTGTCATCAGATTCATTTTAAAAGTATATTGATTTATATGTTTATCTGTACATGTACATTTGTTCAACTATTTTCATTACAGGCTTGGTGAGCAGCTTGCAATTGCAAAGGTAAGATCAATCAAATAAATGAACTATTATAAATTATGTAACAAATTCTTCCAACTTCCAACAACTTAACAAATACTGTTTAGAGCCCATATACAAGACTTAAAAGTTCAAATCTGACTATAATTTTAAAATTCAATGACCTTTTCAAGGTCAAAAAAGATCAAAAAGGTATTTTTCATCTTGCTTCAAATTGACCAATTTTTTACCAAAATCATCTCCAAGTTCTCAGAAGTTCAAATCTGACTATAAATTTAAGATTTCACCTTCAATGACCTTCTTATGTTCAAAAAAGGTCTTTTTTCAACTTGCTTCAAAATTGACCAATTGATTTTTTGCTTTATCATCTACAAGTTCTCAGAAATTCAAATCTGAAAAGATTGAACTCATTATATTGTTTTGAACTAGGTGGTGACATTTTGTTAATGCCTTGTACTTGTTTGACATTTGGTATGGCAGTGGACCCAAATTTTAGGATCTGATGAGGATGCCCCAACATTATGACTTTTGAGGAATGGCAATGGTAGGATTTTTCCACTTTCTAGTATGGGAATGGTCGTGGAAAATATGTTACCTCACACTTGTGGTATGGCATTGGTCTAGTATTTACACATATCCTTCATTTGAGGCTGTTTTTAGTCTAGAGAGGGGTTGTTTTGGAGTATATACTATGTTTTATTGCATAATATGTTTGTCTGATGTGTTCTGATGAAGAATTGACAAATATGCAGTTATGTGACCTTGAGCAATTTTTTCTGCAAGGTCAGCAGGATTTACAATGTTCCATAAGTAGGGATTTTAAGAATCTAGTTTTAAGATGTCTTGCTTTTACATGGTTTTAGGGATTTCATGTCGCATTTACAAGATTAACTTTGAACTGAATCTTGATCCTTATAAAAATTAATACTGCCATATTTAATTGCTGAGTCAGGTTAATACTTATTTCAATTTCTCATTTCAATTGATTTCACATATCTAATCAATTTACAACCATATGAGGGGGAGGGTGTACAAAAGGCCCCCACAGTTAAGTTTTTTCTCTAAAACTTTTTAAAGGCATCAGGTAGGATCTTCAAATTCTTAGTAGCTGCAGCTAGAGATATAGAAAATGTTATTGAAAAATCAGCAGAATTGTATGTAGGGTAATTAACTTATTATGATGCAATCATCAGCTCCAAGAGACAAAACCTTATGATATAAACTGAGAATCACTAATTCTTCCATATGTGTTGTCTTTAGAATAAAATTACACAATCTTACATCATCATAGTTGTTAAAGTTATTACACCATATAGTAGATGATTGAATGAAGTATACAGTAAAACCTGTGTATAGTGAACATTTTTTTGCCGAAGAAAAATGTTCACTATTGGTAGGTGTTCACTACAGCAAGGATTTGATTTCGCGGCATTTTGCCATATTATATTTAAGAGACCAGTTATTAAACGAGCCTAAATAATAGAGGAGGGAATAACTGATTTAATTTGTATTTTATACCTATGATAACCCATGACACTTGCAACAAATTTTTGTTTTTTTTGTTGTGTTATACAAACTTACTTATTCTAGACTGCCTGAATGGTTCATCCTTTTATTGTCAAATTTTAATCTTTTCATAATTCTTTAAATAGTGGAATTCTTAACACATTTGAGTCAGTTGAAAGACTTGATTGAATTAATTAAACTACAAAATGGAGTCAGTTAAGAATGATCTTATAATTTTAACCTTATCTGGTTTTTAAAATGATGGAGATGAGAAAAAGATTTAGTTGGGACTTAGCAGATAGAGATAATAATAGTTAACCAGATTATCTCTAATTAAAGCAATCAATGCTTCTAGACACTGCTAAACACATATCCTGCCTTACAAAAACAAAGCTTACTAAGAATTATAATTAGTCACACCTGTTTCAATACAAGAGATCAAAATCTCAAATTGACCTTTTAATAATTATTTTTCACAGGTAATATAAACATTAACTGCTTAACTCTGATAAGGCAGTTGCAGAAAATCCGCAAGAAATCTTATGTAACAGATTCAATGTTCACTAGAGACAGGATAATTCAATCAAATTTGCCAAGATTTAATGTTCACTGTTCACAGTAGGTAGGTGTTCACTATAGGATTGTACTTTAACATGGGAGTCAATGGGGGAAAAAGGTTTTGCCGAAAAAAAAATGTTCACTGTTGAAAGGTGTTCACTAGAGAGATGTGTTCACTAACACAGGTTTTACTGTACTGTATAACATGAAATATTGCTGTGGATATAAAGTTGCCGATTGCCGAATGTAAAACAGAAACGGCAACATAAAATTCGGAAATATAATTAGTAATTGAAGATCGATCTTAGTGGGCGATAATATGGTAGTTGTCTAACGTGCGTCAACTTACTGTAATAGGGTAATTTTCGAACGAGTATCAACGATAAAATCGAAGCTTTATTCCCCAGCATAAAGTTACAATAAAAATTTAATAATAAAAATGTTGCAGTTAAAATGCATGCAGTTAAATCTATAAAATATTAAAAGGATTGTCATGTTAAAGAGTTAAAATGTCAGAAGATCTTATTGTATGCAAGTGCTTTGGAAATCCCAGTGTTAAAAGTTTTTAATCCCAATATTAAAAGTTTTTAACCCTGGTATTAATTTTCTGAGTCTATCGAATGCGGGTATTATGTGAATAAATCACTCAAATTGTCACTCATAATGTCAGGATGTCAGGTTTTCTGAGTCAGTCAAATGAAGGTGATTAAAATTCATTTGTAAATAAAAATTATATTAGGGGTGTTTACATTTAGGGGTGTCAGGTCGGCAAACTTTTATTCGGCAATAACAATTTTAATCCAATTCGGAAAATAAAGCATCCGGATTTGATACATGTTATACAGTATTTGGGAAAAGTTTGAACATCCTAACTTAGCTAATAAAGATTTTACAAATGGGGGAAGAGAGTTTGTGGGATATGGCATTTGCCAGGTCCATTGTTCTACTTGTATGTCGCAGGAATGAAGGCACTAGAAACTGAATGCATGAATCCTACCAGTATATGCTATATGGTGGCATTGTCATTCGAAGATCAGAGAATCATAAAGTCAATATTCTAGATGCGAGTAGAAATAATCTTGATTTACGTCTTTAAAAATTCACAATTCAGTCAAACTGGTGTCATATTTGAAATCTACATATAAAATTACATCTAAAAGTGTGGTTTTGAAAAGAGTTTATCAACTTTGAAAATTTATTTTTCTTTGAAAACCCATCATGAGAAATCATGGCCTTCGTATTTCTCATTGAAGGCAGAATGTGATGAGTATCAGAATGGATTTAATCATTTACTGTGGTCATGTAGACCTATGTAGTGTAGTAGTCCCATTCAAATCTAAAACAGGGAGGGGATGACTAGGAGTAAAAATCATTTCATCAGAATATTAGAACATAGTATTTGGCCATGTAATTCCATTCTTGATAATAGTTTTTTTCTGAAAAGTTACTGATTTACAATGAAGCAACAATGTATCTTTTAGAATTAATATTATTTCATAATGAAGTGTATTTTTAGAATTTAAATCTTAAATAAAAATGGATTAGTGTCATAATAAAATGGATTACATTATAATTTAATAAATGAGAAATGTAGAAACGGTATACTCATTAAAAGACAATCTCACAGCAGAATTAGCAAGACATTTAGGTCATTGCAAACAATTTCAGACTTAAGTGAAACAAAGTCACAAACAGATGTGATGATTGGATATTGTTCCAGATTATATAAGAATTGCATCATTGACATCCATGTCTTGTTTTTATGACATTTTTGATATGATTACTTTAAGTTGAACAATTTTAGTTGAATAAAGCAAAATATAAGATATTATAAACAAAGTTGATTTAATACTGTATGATTGTGTAATTTCAAGTCTATCTGCTATTACATGTTAAAGGTTATTATTTTGAAAATATTTTGAAGTTATGAAATACTTGTATATAAGTTTAGGTTCAGTTAAAACAGGTGACAATAGATTAATAATACCACCTTTTGAAGTAAGAGTAAAATATAAACTTGCCTTCACGAATGCAACTAACAGCTAGCGGCTACCAGATTAACCTACTATTTTATGACCAACTCATTTAAATATGAATGGAATAGTGGCAGGTACTCCCGGGCCCGGGGGTTCACTGTAAATAAACCTTGACGGGGATCCTTGGCGCACATGGGGTATTTTTTGACATTTGGTATGGCTATGGACTCACATTTTAGGATCCTGTATGAGAATGCCCCCAAAATTATGACTTTTGTGATGTAACAATTTTTGGATTTTCAGCTTTCTGGTATGACAATGGTCTTGAAAAATATATGACCTCACACTTGTGGTATGGCATTGGTTTAGTACTTACACATATCTTTAATTTGAGGTTACGTTGAATCATTTTCTCAAAAATCTACTTTCTTCAATTTTGCATAGACATTGCATGGACCTCATTAACAATATTTCTCGCAGCCAGCATAAACTTTGCATGTGGATTGCATGGTTTTCATATAAACCCCTGATTTTGCATGCATCTGCATGAACATCGCATGGAATATTTTTCACACCCTGCATGGACTTTGCATGTGGATTACGTGCTTTGCATGGATTTGAATGGATGATGCATAGACTTTGCATGGATTTGAATGAACTTTGCATGGTTTTTATAAATGAGTTAATTTTGCTGTGGGTGTTGAATTTGTCATGCATTTGCTGAGGAAATTAATTAAATTCGTCACGCCCATTTTTTGCGTTAGAATATGTCACGCAAATACACATTTTTTCTGAATATTGTCAAGAAAATATTTCCCGCTGTTGTTCTTGCATCAATACGTTGTTTTTTGACACACAGTTAACCCCTTTAAAGCAATAAGTGATTCCTTTTAGATAAAGTGGAAAACAATATTTCCCATGTTATTTTCCCATAGGGAAAACTCGTGCAATCCATTGCTTTCAGCTAATTTGGGTCACCCATAATGGATATCTTAAAAAAAACAAAGGAATCACTTATTCCTTTAAAGGGGTTAACTGTGTATCAAAACGCAACATATTGATGCAAGAAAAATTAAAAGAGTATGGAAGGGGTTGAAAATCAGGAAAACATTTCAGAAAAAACATGTGGATGGGTTCTTTGCATCTTACCCCCATCTCAAAGTCAAAATTATTTTATCATCTCTAGGAGTGCTTTTCCTGGAGGTAATGCATTGGTCTTACATATTGTCCCTTCACTATTATAAGGTTCTAACAACCAATATGGGTCAAATGCATGTGAAAGTGGATTCCCCCTAAATTCACCATGCTCTTTTCAAAAATTAAGGTTATAAAGCTGTATCTCAATTAGAAATAGGAGATTTCTAATGCAATAAGGTTCTATGTCCTTAATTTGAAAAACATGATTACTGCTATATGGTTCTATCTCTTGAGATATAACCTTTTAGCATTCAATGTCATGATTCAAATTGGAGATAAAACCTTTTTACATTTAATGACATAGTATATACAGTGTGACACAGACAAAATGACACCAACCCACATAATGTTGCATAACTTTTTATCTGGATGAAATCTGACTTGTCTTTTTTCACAGTAAAACCTTACTCCATGGAGCAGCCTGCTAGCTGAATATCCTAGATGCGAGTAGAAATAATCTTGATTTACGTCATTAAAAATTCACAATTCAGTCAAACTGGTGTCATATTTGAAATCTACATATAAAATTACATCTAAAAGTGTGGTTTTGAAAAGAGTTTATCAACTTTGAAAATTTATTTTTCTTTGAAAAGTGAGTTCTAGGTCGGGGAGGTTCCCCATAGACCCCATGTTGTAAAACTACAAAAAGTGAAATATCTTTTCTTTTGTTGGGCAGATAATATTTTCTTTTACTGGACATATTTTAATCTGTATAACTATCGCATACATAACGGTAACATATTTAAATTCATGAATACTACCAAATGTGCCATGCCCCTTTCAGAAATATTTCATAATTTTAGAAAGACAAGAGAAAAAAATGGTGAACCAACCAAATGCAAATGGAATCCTTATACAGTGACATTTATCCTCACTAATGTTAATGAATACAAAACAATAATGTGATATGCAATCAATGTGAATTGAAGGTAAAAACATGCACCGATTTTAGAATAAAATGTTTTCAGTTATAATCTAAGAATGATCCAATACACCTGGAATCCAGATCTTCTATAGCATTTTCCATATTTCAGCTTCTTCCAAAGTATGCATCAAAGAGTCCTTTCCTGGTGGACAAGTTAAATGACTTCTTCCTTGGTGGTGTGTTTGATATGTCCGTCTGGACTACTAATATTTGGGATAAAGCTTTGTTTATGTTGGACAAGGGAACAAGGTACTTGGTGTCGTTTCATAATATATTACTGTAATCTCTTCTTCTGGAGAAGCCACGGGGGAGAAGCTAAAGCTTTCATTTCACTATGCCATTATGGATTTGTATGTGGTGATGGGTGCTAGTAACTAATTACCTTTTTGTGTTAATATTCTAAGGCTTATGTTCAGATTAATTTCCTAGTTTGGCAGCTGGGGTTACAATAGAATATACATAATTCAAAATTTAAAAGTAACAATGTTAATTTAATTTGAACATATACTGTATACTTTAAGTTAATTTTTATGTCACCACCAAAAAGTGGTGACATATTGTTATGGTCTCCGTTTTTTTGCGACGGCGGTTGGTGGTTGGCGTCCGGCGTCTGGCGTCCGGCCGTCCGGCGTCTGGCGTCCGGCGTCCGGCGTCTGTAACAATTTCTTACAACTTCCTATAACTTAACAAATACTGTTTAGACTGACTTCAATTTTTTTCTAAATCATCTACATCTTCTCAGAAGTTCAAATCTGACTTTAGATTTGACATTTGACCTTCAATGACCTTCTCAAGGTCAAAAAGGTCTTTTTTCAACTTGCTTCACATTGACTAAATGTTTTTTCAAAATCATCTACATGTTCTCAGAAATTCAAATCTGACTTTAGATTTGACATTTGACCTTCAAATCTGACTTTAGATTTGACATTTGACCTTCAATGACCTTCTCAAGGTCAAAAAAGGTCAAAAAGGTCTGTTTTCAACTTGCTTCAAATTGACTAAATTTTTTTTTCAAAATCATCTACGTGTTCTCAGAAATTCAAATCTGACTTAAGATTTGACATTTGACCTTCAAATCTGACCTTCTCAAGGTCAAAAAAGGTCAAAAAGGTCTTTTTTCAACTTGCTTCAAATTGACTAAATTTTTTTTTCAAAATCATCTACATGTTCTCAGAAATTCAAATCTGACTTTAGATTTAACATTTGACCTTCAATGACCTTCTCAATGTCAAAAAAGGTCAAAAAGGTATTTTTTCATCTTGCTTCAAATTGACTAATTTTTTTTTTCAAAATCATCTACGTGTTCTCAGAAATTCAAATCTGACTTTAGATTTGACTTAAGATTTGACATTTGACCTTCAATGACCTTCTCAAAGTCAAAAAAGGTCAAAAAGGTCTTTTTTCAACTTGCTTCAAATTGACTAAAAAAAATTTTCAAAATCATCTACATGTTCTCAGAAATTCAAATCTGACTTTAGATTTGACCTTCAATGACCTTCTCAATGTCAAAAAAAGGTCAAAAAGGTATTTTTTCATCTTGCTTCAAATTGACTAAATTTTTTTTTCAAAATCATCTACATGTTCTCAGAAATTTAAATATGACTTTAGATTTGACTTTAGATTTGACATTTGACCTTCTCAAGGTCAAAAAAGGTCAAAAAGGTATTTTTTCAACTTGCTTCAAATTGACTAATTTTTTTTTTCAAAATCATCTACATGTTCTCAGAAATTCAAATCTGACTTTAGATTTGACATTTGACCTTTAATGACCTTCTCAAGGTCAAAAAAGGTCAAAAAGGTCTGTTTTCAACTTGCTTCAAATTGACCAAATTTTTTTTTCAAAATCATCTACATCTTTTCAGAAGTTCAAATTTGACTTTACAAGTTCTCAGAAGTTCAAATCTGACTTTAGATTTGACCTTTGACCTTCAATGACCTTCTCAAGGTCAAAAAGGTCTTTTTTCAACTTGCTTCAAATTGACTAATTTTTTTTTCAAAATCATCTACATGTTCTCAGAAGTTCTTCTTAAGGTCAAAAGGTATTTTCCAACTTGCTTTAAATTGACCAAATTGTTTTAGGTGGTGACATTTTGTCATGTTAATGCCTTGTTTGTTTTTTACTACAGTGCTTGTGATTTACCCCACAACCCACTGTACATCAGCTGTAATATGACAAATCTAGAAGCCCCACCTAGGAAGCAGCAGGGAAGCCGTAATGCTGAGAAAAACGGCTTCTTTGTGGCCTCACGGTTCCCTGGCCTCAGTAGAGGGGATGTATTGATCAGAAGAACCAAGAGGGGTGTATATCTGTCAGCCAGTAAAAGGGTTAAGGTGAGAACTGGCATCTGCATAGCCAATTTTGTTGAGACAGTTGCCTTGTCTGCCTCACCAAAAAATTTTCCAGAAATATATTCATTCAGACGTTTTAACTAGAAATGTGGAAATTATATCCAAGGTAGAAACATGCATTTTTCAGCTTAAATTTGCCTCACCTGTTTACATTTGCCTTGCCCAATTATCCCATCGAACAAAGTTCAGAGGGATATAGGGAATGCCTTCATCCGTCTGTCCATCCATCCGTCTGTACATACGTCTGTCCGGGTGATAACTCAAATACCATTGGCCCGATTTTATTCATATTTTGTACACATATGCCCTATGGGGGTAGAAGTTCTGCTGGAAAGCAGATTTTCAAAATGGCCTCTCATTTAAAAATGGCAGCCATTTTAGTGCCGATTTTAGAATAATTTAGTTGCAATATATAAAACTGTAATAGCAATATGTTTAAAATGTAAAAATTTATATAGAACATCAATAAAGCTAGAAATGTAAATATTTAAGAAGCACATGGCAGCCATCTTGAAAAATGGCAACATTTACACGCTATTTTTGACAATGTTTGCTGTAACTTTTAAAGTAGTGGAACAATTTTGTTCATATTTGATATGTTGCACTGTCTAATGACAATTTTGGTAGAAGGCGTGGCACACGATCTTACATGTATGACATTTTGGCTAGTAAGTGGTCATTTTGAAAAATGTATGTGTTACATGTATGTGTGTGCGATTTTGTTGAACTTTTATATGTGCCAACTTAGAAGCATATTACACTTTCTGATGACAATTTGGCTAGTGAGCAATGTTATTTTATGATTTCTGCTATCTACTTTGTATGTAGAAATGCCAGCCATGGCTGTTTCGATGTGATTTGCTACGTGTTGGCGTTGCTGTTGTCTGGTTTTTGATCCTGGCTACACCCCATACTCTTATACACGTTTATTGTTTTCAAACTTCATGCTTTGGTATTGGAATCCCATCAAAGTCACCGTTTTAATGAGATTTTTATGATATGTGCATAATTTAAGGACTGCACTTCTATTTGTTCACATATTTGTATAACATGTTAAATTTTTCCCAAAAAATTAGATCTTGTATTGCAAATTAGTGTTTTATTATATTTTGAGCTCTTAAGCTAAATGATATTAATGACATGACATAGCTATAATTTCCTCATTATTATTAATTACTCGATGTCTGTAACAAATGGCAGGTAGTGGCTTTTTCCATGTTACCACCCCTGATTACTGACTTCACATGGATGATATGTTATCATCTTTATCAGAATCATAATGCTCTTAAAACTACAAGGTGATCACAGTATCTGAGTTGAACTGATCATTGCAATCTACTTTCAGCATTTATTTAAGAAACAAGCGGAACTGTCTGAATACCACCAAAACAAGACATTAGACCAATACTCAAGACTGAATGATGCCAAGGTCAAAACTGCAATATCTTCATATACTCTGAGTCGGCCATATGCCAGAGTTGGAGGGTGAGTTGACATCTCTGTGATTTGTCATTGGACAAATGGGAATCTCAAAGGTGTGAAAGTGTATGTCCAAGTCAATTAATAGTCATTTAATTGTTATGAATTTAAAAGTAATTAAGGATAGGCATTATAGCTATTAGCCTATTACAGGGGCCCATTAACTTAAGTGAATACATAACAAAGTAATTCAGCATTGTCTCTGCTTAGCTCATGGTGAACAGCTGTTTTGAAAATCAATGCAAATGAGATTTAATAGTAACATTTTTGTGGTCGCCGGGTTGGCCTAGTGGTTAAGGCATTGGTCTGAAAAGCAGGAAGTCTGGCTTAAAACTGAAAAGTAGAGGTCTTGGGTTCAAACCCAGGTCACAGCACTTCTTGTGATTTGTCTTTGACCTATGACTGCTGACCTATACCGGCGACTACTAGAGTGCTGCTAACTCGATAAAAGGCTGGCGCTGGCTAGAATTGTCTATGGTTCTAGCCAGGATAAAGATACCAGTTCTTCAACTCGACAATGGGAAGAACTGCTCTACCTTAATGACTAATATGTCATGATATGACATCTAAAGAGTCAATAAATGATATAATAATATTCACCTTTACTTACTGATGTTTTGGTATCATCATATTGGTTATTCATTTCGTTAGATGTGTGCATATTCACTTTAGAGCCAGCAAAAAATTCTGAAATGCAAGCCCAATGTCCTGTTTAAGAACCCCTTTTCTTACTATATATTGAAAATGGATTTATGGATTTTAGCAATGCTGTCAACTTTAAAAAGGGATATAAAGTGTAAATACATGTATTACTATTTAAAGAATTATTAATTTCAAGATCAATATTTTATTGTGGTCTGTTTTGCCCTCACGTGGATCACCTACTTTTCATTTTTTCAGTGCTTTTCATTTTTTTAGTTAAATGATATGCCTTTAATACAGCCCCTAATCTAAAATTTATCATGTTTAATGATGACACTGGTACACTAAAATGCTAGTGACTACAACATAGTCAAAAAACAAATTCCAACTTGACTATAATAGATGATTTTTCAACTTAGGAATTTTATCATGCAGAATTTTAGTTCAAGACTTTCATTTTATATACAGATGTACATAATGTTCATAATGTTCAACAGAATCATATTATAATTTTAATAATGTTAATTTCTCGATGTGCGCTTGCGAACTGGAATCAGAAACACTCAATTTCTGGTCATCATCTCTAATCTAATAAAAATGAAAATTCATGTCATTCTTTGGAGCACCACCAACATGCTACTAGTCATTCAAGCCTCACTTGGCTGTATATGTTCAACTCTAACACCTATGTACGTCAATTCATATGTTTCTGTAAAAAAGTCTCATGATGTCAAGTTCACCGAGCCACAGATTTAAATACTAAATAATTTCCAAAAAACAATAAAAACAAACAGAATCATTATTTACTCTATATCCCAGGGAGTAAAAATGTTCTTGTTTGACCAAGAATAATCTATGTATTTTGACTAAAAGCTTGAAATTACATAAATTTGAATTGTTTCTTTAAAGAAACATGATTATTTTTATTATTTGAAAAGTGAAAATGTATACATTAATTCGAGGTGTCATTTTCTTCCAGGGCAATGCTGAGTGGTGACTTGAACAATGATGGCTGGGATGATCTTATAATAGGAGCCCCTGGGTACAGCACTTTGGGAAACATAGAGGCTGGACGTGTATATGTTATACTAGGTACTGTAGTCTAGAAGAAAGCCAAGAGGGGGTTGTTTTGGAGTATATACAATGTTTTATTGCATAATGTGTTGATCTGATGTGTTCTGATGAAGATTTGACAAATATGCAGTAATGTGACCTTGAGCAATTTTTTTCTGCAAGGTCAGCAAAATTTTCAATTGAACTGAACCTTGAAACTGATAAAAATTAATGCTGTAATTAAGTGCTGAGTCAGCAGTAATAGTTATTTTTCTCATTTCAATTGATTTTGCATATCTTTTCAATTTACAACCATATATTTGAACTTGAATGGTCAAAATTTAATGTTTTAAAGAACAAGGTTACTCTTCTAATTAAGATGTCAACTTTATTCGAAATATAATATGCTGATGTCAGCAAAATACTTCCTCAAAATAGCTAAGCAGTCTTTGCTTTTAAATATTGGTAATTGTAACAATAGCAGGAAGCGTAATATAAACAATTGAAGTCTTATATGCAAAATATGGATTTATTAGCTAATTAACTCATTAGCAATTGGCCATTAAATTGGTCATAGAAGCTCTAAGGGGGAGGGGAGTACAAAAGGCCTTTACAGTTAAGTTTTTCTCTAAACGTTTTAAAGGGTGACGCATATCGTTTAGCAAATCGAACGCTCGTTTCTGGTGTTGCTCACCGTTTAGTATAAAAGGCCCGATCCCGGAATAATACTCAAGGGTTCACAGGTTCGAGGTCGTTGTGTCAACACCTCTAACTGTTATATAGCATAAGTCTATTATAGATCGTCACACATTTATAAAAGGGTGATTTTTATTTTGACAAATCAATTCCACATTTATGGGTGAAGTTTCAGGATCTTCTATTTGTGTATAATAAGGAAAAATTGGCATCTAAATTTCCCCATAACATAATAGCACACAGCTTGGCATATGAAATATCCTACAAATGAAACAAAGCAAGACAAACCGGTTTCTAATACAAGGATTTATATTGGCTGTTGTACATGTATTCTTTGAACGCAATCACTCTTTGGATAACGTTTTCAAAATCATTATAAACGGATAACTTTATCTCAAAGACAATTTCAATAAACTGGATTTTACAGAACTCCCCTTATTTCTTATAAATGGACTGATCCAGTTGATTCGCCTGGAGCCGCCATATTGTTTTTATACGGGATGCTAATCGGAACCCTTTAAAGGCATCTGGTAGAATCCTCAAATTCTCAGTAGCTGGTGCTAGAGATATTACAAAAGTGTTATGAAAAAATCAGCAGAATTGTATGTAGGGTAATTAATTTATCATGATGTAATCATCAGCTCCAAGAAACAAAACCTTATTATATAAACTGAGAATCACTAATTCTACCGCATTCAAACCAGACAAATATACAATCTTAAATCGAGTATGTTCAGAACAAACATGGAATAATACTCTATAAGTAAGACAGGGTCAGACCTGTGAAACACTTTACCTCACAAAATTACTCATTCTTATACTCTTTTATGATCAATATTTAATCCTGCTGAGTCTTGGCTCATACGGAGAAACGAGTGACAAAACAAATGCCAACTTAATTGACATTAAAAGATAATCTTGCAGCAGAATTAGCAAGACATATGAGGTTATTGCAAACAATTTTAGACATACAAGTGAAGATGTGTTAATTGGATATTGTTCCAGATTATATAAGAATTGCATCATTGACATTAATGTCTCGTTTTTATAACATGTTTGATATAATTACTTATTTCCCTCCTTGATCATGTAAATTACTAAATTAAATAATTTCAGTTGAAAGTAAAATATAAGATTTTATAAGCAAAGTTATTTTAATACTGAATGTGTTATTTCAAGTCTATCTGCTATTACATGTTAAAGGTCATTGTTTAGGAAATACTTTGAAGTTATGAAATACTTGTATTAGCTTCAATTATATCAGGTGACAATAGATTAATAATACCACCTTTTGAAACTGAATGCATGAATCCTGGATTTAACCATTTACTATGTTCATGTAGACCTATGTAACATAGTAGTCCCATTCAAATCTAAAACAAGGGTGGGATGTCTAGGAGCTAAATCGTTTCATCAGAATATTAAAACATAGTATTTGCTCATTTAATTTGATTCTTGATAATGTTTTTTTTCTGAACAGTTACTAATTCACAATGAAGCAACAGTGTATCTTTTAGAATCAATATTTTATAATGAAGTGTATTTTTAGAATTTAAATCTTAAATAAAATATGATTAGTGTCAGAATGAAATATATTACATTACAATTTAATAAATGAGAAAAGTAGAAACGGTATACTCTTTTATGATCAATGAGTTTTGGCTCATATGGACAAACTAGTGACAAAAATTAATGCCAACTTTACATTAAAAGATAATCTTGCAACATTAACAAGACAAAATGCCACACAGGTTATCGCAAATAAATGAATAGATAGAATTCAACTATTTACGGTGTTCATTTGTAACGTATTAGTCCTGTTCGTATCTATAACAAGAGCAGGGTGTCTAGGAGCAAAATTATTTCTTCAGAATATTACAGTAATACTAATTGGCCTACTAGTTTTTTTTCTGAAAAAATACGAATTCACAATGATGAAATGGGGTATCTTTTGGAATCAATATTCTATAATGAAGTGTATTATAAACGGATTACTTTATCTCAAAGACAATTTCAATAAACTGGATTTTACAGAACTCCCCTTATTTCTTATAAATGGACTGATCCAGTTGATTCGCCTGGAGCCGCCATATTGTACTATTACGGGATGCTAATCGGAACCCTTTAAAGGCATCTGGTAGAATCCTCAAATTCTCAGTAGCTGGTGCTAGAGATATAACAAAAGTGTTATGAAAAAATCAGCAGAATTGTATGCAGGGTAATTAATTTATCATGATGTAATCATCAGCTCCAAGAAACAAAACCTTATTATATAAACTCAGAATCACTAATTCTACCACATTCAAACCAGACAAATATACAATCTTAAATCGAGTATGTTCAGAACAAACATGGAATAATACTCTATAAGTAAGACAGGGTCAGACCTGTGAAACACTTTACCTCACAAAATTACTCATTCTTATACTCTTTTATGATCAATATTTAATCCTGATGAGTCTTGGCTCATGTGGAGAAACGAGTGACAAAACAAATGCCAACTTAATTGACATTAAAAGATAATCTTGCAGCAGAATTAGCAAGACATATGAGGTTATTGCAAACAATTTTAGACATACAAGTGAAGATGTGTTAATTGGATATTGTTCCAGATTATATAAGAATTGCATCATTGACATTAATGTCTCGTTTTTATAACATGTTTGATATAATTACTTATTTCCCTCCTTGATCATGTAAATTACTAAATTAAATAATTTCAGTTGAATAAAGTAAAATATAAGATTTTATAAGCAAAGTTATTTTAATACTGAATGTGTTATTTCAAGTCTATCTGCTATTACATGTTAAAGGTCATTGTTTAGGAAATACTTTGAAGTTATGAAATACTTGTATTAGCTTCAATTATATCAGGTGACAATAGATTAATAATACCACCTTTTGAAACTGAATGCATGAATCCTGGATTTAACCATTTACTATGTTCATGTAGACCTATGTAGCATAGTAGTCCCATTCAAATCTAAAACAAGGGCGGGATGTCTAGGAGCTAAATCGTTTCATCAGAATATTAAAACATAGTATTTGCTCATTTAATTTGATTCTTGATAATGTTTTTTTTCTGAACAGTTACTAATTCACAATGAAGCAACAGTGTATCTTTTAGAATCAATATTTTATAATGAAGTGTATTTTTAGAATTTAAATCTTAAATAAAATATGATTAGTGTCAGAATGAAATATATTACATTACAATTTAATAAATGAGAAAAGTAGAAACGGTATACTCTTTTATGATCAATGAGTTTTGGCTCATATGGACAAACTAGTGACAAAAATTAACGCCAACTTTACATTAAAAGATAATCTTGCAACATTAACTAGACAAAATGCCACACAGGTTATCGCAAATAAATGAATAGATAGAATTCAACTATTTATGGTGTTCATTTGTAACATATTAGTCCTGTTCGTATCTATAACAAGAGCAGGGTGTCTAGGAGCAAAATTATTTCTTCAGAATATAACAGTAATACTAATTGGCCTACTAGTTTTTTTTCTGAAAAAATACGAATTCACAATGATGAAATGGGGTATCTTTTGGAATCAATATTCTATAATGAAGTGTATTTTTAAAATTTAAATCTTAAATAAAATAAGATTAGTGTCAGAATGAACTGGATTACATATTACAATTAAAAAAAAGAAATGAAGATTTTATAAGCAAAGTTGTTTTAATACTGAATATGTAATTTCAACTCTATCTGCTACTACACGTAGCCGACGGCGTTAGTTGCGTTCGCGAATACAAGCTAAGACTGCGATATCATAGTGTATTATATTGCACAAATAATCAAATTGACTTGATGTAAAAAAGGAATTAAAATTTATATGCTAATTAGTAAGCTAATCAATATGCATAAAAACGCAGTTGTTATACACTTCTTTTACCCCTATACTCATAATTGAAATACTAGATCGTATTTATTCTACTCTAATTTAGGGTTATGTTATTCAAGTGAAATTAACTCCACTTGTAACACATTTACATTCTTAGCTTTACAATGATACCAAATCTCTGTTCTAGCAAAGGTGAACCCGTTATAAAAATCAGACAATCGCTACTGCACTTACTTTACATTGTTCTGGTAGTGTTGATTTAATGACTTAATTTGCATAATTACTGTATTTTTTCAGAGAGAGAATGTTCACAGGTAGATATGTGTATTGCAAGTCATAAATTAAACAGAAATAACTGATAAGGGATATTTAACTCCATATAAATACATGAATACTACCAAATGTGCCACGCCCCCTTTCAGAAATATTACATAATTTTAAAAAGACAATAGAAAAAAACGCTCAACCTACTACAACTGCATATTTGTGGCTTTTTGATCAGGACATGTCTAACTATCAAAAAATGCAATTAAACATTGTATATACTCCAAAACAAGGTTCAATGATAAATGCTTTGTTTTCATCTAGACTACTGTAACTGTACATGTAAATGACATCTGACATTCAACACGTCATATAAAACTACATCGATCTGGTATTAGTTTTTTTACAATAATAGAGAAATACGACGTCATATCACCTCTACAGCAAATCGTGAAGAACAAAATGTCGTAGCATGATGGTATTTTGAACAAACTATTTTAAATGATCGGTTTATTAGAACGGTAGTGAATTAGACCATTCAAGGGGTTATATAGAAAGATTCTTTACATGTAGTTCACGCAATTTTAATTATTCTGAATAGCGGATAGTCATTAATCCTGATAGCCAATAGTCATTTATCACTTACGTGTTTATATTTAATTTCGTTATTTTATTTCAATTTGATACCCTAGTAACACGTATAATCTAGCGTTCTTGTTAATTTAATGACTAAAATGCATTTACGACCTGAAAGCCCGTGTCTAAATCTACTAAATAATGTTTACTTTATTTGGATTAAATAACAATTGATGACACCTCAAAGCATCAACAGGCGGCCTTTTTAGTATTATTTTCACTGTTTGCAACGTAAATATACATGAGATCGGGACATAGTATGTCTGTATAATCAGCTTACTTTCTCGCTCCCTGTACTATTGAACAATTTACATTCCTTGTACCCTGTATTGATCAACTTTTGCAGCTGTGTACCGTGTACTATGACATATCAAATATTTTAAAATTTAAAACAATATTATTTACATTATTTCTTCAACTATCATATAACTTGGAACATGGACTTCACTATTGCACCACTGAAGTTCAGCGAATAGCAATATTGACTCACTCCGAGCACCAAACGTATTAACCTTTTCACTAAGCAGTCGATATACTCAAAAGCGACCTGATTGAAAGCCAAAAAATTCGCGCATGCGCTATCGAGGTAGGGTAGTGTGTAAGGGGGAGGGGAGTACAAAAGGCCTTTACAGTTAAGTTTTTCTCTAAACGCTTTAAAGGGTGACGCATATCGTTTAGCAAATCGAACGCTCGTTTCTGGTGTTGCTCACCGTTTAGTATAAAAGGCCCGATCCCGGAATAATACTCAAGGGTTCACAGGTTCGAGGTCGTTGTGTCAATACCTCTAACTGTTATATAGCATAAGTCTATTATAGATCGTCACACATTTATAAAAGGGTGATTTTTATTTTGACAAATCAATTCCACATTTATGGGTGAAGTTTCAGGATCTTCTATTTGTGTATAATAAGGAAAAATTGGCATCTAAATTTCCCCATAACGTAATAGCACACAGCTTGGCATATGAAATATCCTACAAATGAAACAAAGCAAGACAAACCGGTTTCTAATACAAGGATTTATATTGGCTGTTGTACATGTATTCTTTGAACGCAATCACTCTTTGGATAACGTTTTCAAAATCATTATAAACGGATTACTTTATCTCAAAGACAATTTCAATAAACTGGATTTTACAGAACTCCCCTTATTTCTTATAAATGGACTGATCCAGTTGATTCGCCTGGAGCCGCCATATTGTTTTTATATGGGATGCTAATCGGAACCCTTTAAAGGCATCTGGTAGAATCCTCAAATTCTCAGTAGCTGGTGCTAGAGATATAACAAAAGTGTTATGAAAAAATCAGCAGAATTGTATGTAGGGTAATTAATTTATCATGATGTAATCATCAGCTCCAAGAAACAAAACCTTATTATATAAACTCAGAATCACTAATTCTACCACATTCAAACCAGACAAATATACAATCTTAAATCGAGTATGTTCAGAACAAACATGGAATAATACTCTATAAGTAAGACAGGGTCAGACCTGTGAAACACTTTACCTCACAAAATTACTCATTCTTATACTCTTTTATGATCAATATTTAATCCTGCTGAGTCTTGGCTCATACGGAGAAACGAGTGACAAAACAAATGCCAACTTAATTGACATTAAAAGATAATCTTGCAGCAGAATTAGCAAGACATATGAGGTTATTGCAAACAATTTTAGACATACAAGTGAAGATGTGTTAATTGGATATTGTTCCAGATTATATAAGAATTGCATCATTGACATTAATGTCTCGTTTTTATAACATGTTTGATATAATTACTTATTTCCCTCCTTGATCATGTAAATTACTAAATTAAATAATTTCAGTTGAATAAAGTAAAATATAAGATTTTATAAGCAAAGTTATTTTAATACTGAATGTGTTATTTCAAGTCTATCTGCTATTACATGTTAAAGGTCATTGTTTAGGAAATACTTTGAAGTTATGAAATACTTGTATTAGCTTCAATTATATCAGGTGACAATAGATTAATAATACCACCTTTTGAAACTGAATGCATGAATCCTGGATTTAACCATTTACTATGTTCATGTAGACCTATGTAGCATAGTAGTCCCATTCAAATCTAAAACAAGGGCGGGATGTCTAGGAGCTAAATCGTTTCATCAGAATATTAAAACATAGTATTTGCTCATTTAATTTGATTCTTGATAATGTTTTTTTTCTGAACAGTTACTAATTCACAATGAAGCAACAGTGTATCTTTTAGAATCAATATTTTATAATGAAGTGTATTATTAGAATTTAAATCTTAAATAAAATATGATTAGTGTCAGAATGAAATATATTACATTACAATTTAATAAATGAGAAAAGTAGAAACGGTATACTCTTTTATGATCAATGAGTTTTGGCTCATATGGACAAACTAGTGACAAAAATTAATGCCAACTTTACATTAAAAGATAATCTTGCAACATTAACAAGACAAAATGCCACACAGGTTATCGCAAATAAATGAATAGATAGAATTCAACTATTTACGGTGTTCATTTGTAACGTATTAGTCCTGTTCGTATCTATAACAAGAGCAGGGTGTCTAGGAGCAAAATTATATCTTCAGAATATTACAGTAATACTAATTGGCCTACTAGTTTTTTTTCTGAAAAAATACGAATTCACAATGATGAAATGGGGTATCTTTTGGAATCAATATTCTATAATGAAGTGTATTTTTAAAATTTAAATCTTAAATAAAATAAGATTAGTGTCAGAATGAACTGGATTACATATTACAATTAAAAAAAAAGAAATGAAGATTTTATAAGCAAAGTTGTTTTAATACTGAATATGTAATTTCAACTCTATCTGCTACTACACGTAGCCGACGGCGTTAGTTGCGTTCGCGAATACAAGCTAAGACTGCGATATCATAGTGTATTATATTGCACAAATAATCAAATTGACTTGATGTAAAAAAGGAATTAAAATTTATATGCTAATTAGTAAGCTAATCAATATGCATAAAAACGCAGTTGTTATACACTTCTTTTACCCCTATACTCATAATTGAAATACTAGATCGTATTTATTCTACTCTAATTTAGGGTTATGTTATTCAAGTGAAATTAACTCCACTTGTAACACATTTACATTCTTAGCTTTACAATGATACCAAATCTCTGTTCTACCAAAGGTGAACCCGTTATAAAAATCAGACAATCGCTACTGCACTTAGTTTACATTGTTCTGGTAGTGTTGATTTAATGACTTAATTTGCATAATTACTGTATTTTTTCAGAGAGAGAATGTTCACAGGTAGATATGTGTATTGCAAGTCATAAATTAAACAGAAATAACTGATAAGGGATATTTAACTCCATATAAATACATGAATACTACCAAATGTGCCACGCCCCCTTTCAGAAATATTACATAATTTTAAAAAGACAATAGAAAAAAACGCTCAACCTACTACAACTGCATATTTGTGGCTTTTTGATCAGGACATGTCTAACTATCAAAAAATGCAATTAAACATTGTATATACTCCAAAACAAGGTTCAATGATAAATGCTTTGTTTTCATCTAGACTACTGTAACTGTACATGTAAATGTTGCAAACTTCATCACAGAGGCCTTTCTCTGTATAATTAAGGGGCGGGGTCAAAATATCGATGTTCATATGGAGACGAAAGTACTTTCGCGAGGGGGAGGGGGTTTTTGGGCACTGACATACAAAAAATAATTGGACTTACCCACTTTTTCTGGCGCTATGTTCTGATAAAAAGGCTTGTTTTCAATAGTTCGTGAGCTTTTTTGTGTGATAGGTCCAAAATATCGGTAGATAAAGACGATAATTCGATCATTTTTCAAATAAATTCCGTACTTTTCCCTCCTCCTTTTGAAGAGTTCAATGCAGTTAAATTGCGAACGTGTGTTAATTCACCATAATAATAACCCGGCAAATAGGATACGATTATTAATCAATGTTTTTTTGAAGTGACCTAAGCTTTCGTCTAGAGGGGGGGGTGGGGGGGTTGTTGTCCAAACGAAATTACTTTCGTCTCCATATGAACATTGATATTTTGACCCCGCCCCTAAAGCACATGTTTCTAAAACCTCATCAGTGTATTTCAGCATACTGTAAACCATGGGCTTTCAACTAGACTAGTTGAAAGCCCATGTGTAAACCAAAGACTGTGTGTTAAACCAGTGTATTCCCTCAATCATTGTAATGCCTTGATGAATCAAGATGGTATTTCAGATTCTTCATGGACAATTGCTTATAGGGAGTGAAGCATATCATAGCTTACATGATTATAACATGTGAGAATATCAATATATTGACAACCTCTCATATTCATCTGATTGATAAAAATATTCAACATAATTCTTTTCAAGTCCCATACAATGTATAAAAGCCTGAAATGACATTATACAATTGTACATAAATTGAGGGTACCACTTTTAGGACTCCTTTGAATATCTTCTGAATTTCTCCATTTACATCACCTATTTCACTTATCATATAATTTTAGGTTCAAGGATAGGATTACCTAGTGGCTTCAACATTGACCTAGATGACGTGTCCAACTTCACCATCTCAGGCCCATATAAGGTAAAGAAAATCTTGCTTATCTCCAAAATACCTTTTAAATAAATTATATCCAACCGACTAAGTTGATACCTTTAATGTCATTGAGAATATCTTATTCATCTATATTGTGGAGCCAGAACAAGATTCATTCAGGTTTTGCGCGGCTCATGGGATTGGATAGGCATGCATTCATTGATCCGTCATTCAGTCCATCCGTCTATTTGTCCAACTGTTGGTCCAATGTAAGCACATAAGCTTTTTTATCACCTTCATTATCATTAGATTTAACAATACAGTACAAGGTCGGAGGCTGAGGCAATAGATGGTTGGCTAGGTTGAAGAAAAAATATTGTTTTTTTGTAAATATCTTATCAGTAAAATGTGTCTAATCATCTGTAAGAGTCCGACCATTCTGATAGTAAGGGGATATTCATTTTTTTGTTATTCTTTCAGGAGAATGGAAGATTTGGCAGCTCACTTGCGATAGTTGACATTAACAGGGATGGCTACCCTGACCTTGCAGTTGGTGCGCCATCTATTGGATCAAAAGTACTTCAATATACAGTAAGTATTAAGCATATAAAAGCTGGGTTTGTTGGATTAAAAGGTGAAAATGTAGTTTTCTTGACAGCTGCGTCATTGCAACAGGCATTGATGGCTAAAATTTAGGTGAAAGTAGTTTTATGATCAATATCAGTTTTTCAAACATAAAGGCAGGTTTGTTTGATCTAAAGATGAAAGTGTACGTGTTACGTAGCAAATTTTCTTGACAGCCTCTTCATTTCAACAGATATTGATGGCAGAAATTAATTTGAGTTCAAAAATACTTTTATGATCAATATCAATTTTTCAAACATTACATGTGAAGGGAGATTTGTTGAATATAAAAATATAACTCGATATCAATTTTTCAAGTGTTTTTTATTATAAAAATACTATAAAATGAGCTTAATGTCAAAATTAAACGGATTATCTGATCAAAAAATAACTGAGTGGCAATTACTTATCTCTCAGTACATTTAGTACAACCACACACATAATGTGTGTTTGTACTTTTATTGTATAGCTCTCAATACAATAGTTCACCCTTGAGAGCTAAAAACTATTAATATGTTGAATGTTATTATTTCATAATTCATATTTTTATTATACTGTCTTGCAAAATTAAAGATTTGAAAAAAGGGGTAATTGTTATTGCTGTCATTTATCTTTTTTATGATGATGTATGTTGGATGATTTGTCTTTGGATGTGTTGTCTTGGGATGACTTTTCTTGGAATGACTTGTCTTGGGATTAGTTGTCTTTGGAATGACTTGTCTTGGGATTAATTGTCTTGGGATTAATTGTCTTTGGGATGATTTGTCTTGGGATTAGTTGTCTTGGGATGAGATGTCTTGGGATGACTTTTCTTGGAATGACTTGTCTTGGGATTAGTTGTCTTTGGAATGACTTGTCTTGGGATTAATTGTCTTGGGATTAATTGTCTTTGGGATGATTTGTCTTGGGATTAGTTGTCTTGGGATGAGATGTCTTGGGATGACTTTTCTTGGAATGACTTGTCTTGGGATGAGATGTCTTGGGATGACTTTTCTTGGAATGACTTGTCTTGGGATTAGTTGTCTTTGGAATGACTTGTCTTGGAATGACTTGTCTTGGGATTAGTTGTCTTGGGATGAGATGTCTTGGGGTGACTTTTCTTGGAATGACCTGTCTTGGGATTAGTTGTCTTTGGAATGACTTGTCTTGGAATGACTTGTCTTGGGATGACTTGTCTTGGGATTAGTTGTCTTCGGATTAGTTGTCTTTGGAATGACTTGTCTTGGGATTAGTTGTCTTTGGAATGACTTTTCTTGGGATTAATTGTCTTTGGGATGACTTGTCTTGGGATTAATTGTCTTTGGGATGACTTGTCTTGGGATGACTTGTTTTTGGATGAGTTTTCTTGGGATGAGCTATTTAAAGATAACTTTTCTTGGGATTATCTGTCTTTGGCCTTTTGTCTTTGGGATGACTTGTCTTTGACTTGTTGTCTTTGGTATGACTTGTCTTTTGCCAGCTGTATTTGGTATGACTTGTCTTTTTGCCAGTTGTACTTGGTATGACTTTCTTTGGCCACTTGACTTTGGGATGACTTACCTTACAGATGAGTTGCCTTGGGATAACTTGTTTTGGGTAGTGTTGTCCTGGGATGAGCTTTTAAAGATAACCTTTCTTGGGATGACCTGTCTTTAGCCTTTTGTCTTTGGTATGACATGTGGTTGGGCTTTTGTCTTTGGGATGACTTGTGTTTGACCAGTTGTCTTTGGTATGACTTGTCTTTTGCCAGTTATACATGTACTCGGTATGACTTTCTTTGGCCAGTTGTCTTTTAGATGACTTACCTTATAGATGAGTTGCCTTGGGATGACTTGTCTTAAGGATGAGTTATCCTGTTAGCTTATCAAGATTTGTGTTCAGTATACCTTATCTATCAAGAATTCGTGGTTAATCCCTGTCTAGAATATATTTCACCCATTTTTTCAGGGCAGAGTGTATGTGTACTATGGTAGACCAGGAGGTTTTTTGTCTTCAGTACCAGACCTCACTGTGGAATGTCAGGTTTGTACATCTCTATCTATAATATAAAACATGTGTGTTTCATAGAAAACCTTATGACCAGAGGAGAAACTTCATAGCCATGAAATTTTGCTCAAATGTTTCAAGAAAGCTCTTAGAAGCCTGGAAAGTGCACCACCCCTCGTATGAACATTTTTGAACCATATCTTTGTAGAACTGAGGCTGTCTGAGCTGCTTGGGGATTACATACAAACTATTAAAAATGTGAAAAATTGACATCACTAAAAATGCTCTAAAAATTTGGGAATTTAACCAATGAGTCTGAATTTTGGTGTGTGATTCCCTTTAAGATGATATATAATAACCATATGTTATTTTTAAATCAAAAATGTTAAGGGGGAGAACAGACTGCATATTTGACACCCTGTATATTGCCAGGCAATACACACTGGCTAAAAATGTCAAGTAGAAAGTAGAATTATATCACATCTGTTGTGTATGTACATGTACATTCTAGAAAACCTTATACAGGGTGGTCAAAAAAATGGAAACCCTGCATTTTCCTAATATCTTTGCCATTTTAAGGAATTACTCCCTGATATTTCACACATTTGTACATCTACCACCCTACCAAATTTTATGACCATCAGACTGATAGTCACAATTTTACAGCACTTTGAATAACATGCTTCAAGTTTGGCCATCATCGCGCTGTAGGCAAACCTGCACAGTTGTCAATGGGCCGAATGCACTCCTCAGCAGGTATGGCCTGAATGATATGGATGGTCTCACTTTTGAGGTTTGTGATTGTCCTGAGGTCATTCTCATACACTTTTTCCTTGCCATATCCCTACAGGTAGGGACATTTTGGACGGCCAGTGCAGGTGGCCCGATAGCGCAATAGTGGCCACTAGGGCATGTTCTGTAAAGTGCTGTAACATTGTGACTATCAATCTGATGGTCATGATACAGGCCTGTCAACTTGGGCACACCTAACATGAGTGACTTGGCAATGTTGAACACCTCCCCTCAAAATGTGGACACTTTGGTCCAAATCTGAACACCTTGATCCAAATTTTGAACACCTTGGTTTAAATTTTATTACATCTTGCCAAATTTTGAACACCTCAAATTTTTCGCTCTCGCTACGCTCGCGTTAAAAACAACCATCAACGGGGGGGGGGTAGGTACGGAAATTCCGAACGGAATGCGTGACATAAACGTAATTCGCGTGAAAAGTCCGAACGAAATGCGTACATTTTTTACGGCGTTTGTATTTTTGCTGTGTAGACCATCTTTTTTAGAAATTTTTCTACATAAATATTTTTGCTTGACAATTACCAGGTAAAATGCGTATTTGCGTGACATTTTCTGTCACGCAAAAATAACTGGCGTGACTTCAAATTCTTCAGCAAATGCGTGACAAATACGCAAATTGCGGGACAGTTGACAGGCCTGATGATATAAAGTAGGCTGATAGGAAATTGGATGATGTACAAATGTGCAAAATATCAGGGAGTTATGTCTTAAAATGACAAATATATGAGGAAAATAGTATAAGGGTTTCCATTTTTTTTACCACCCTGTACTTAGATTTGATTCCTTGCATATCTCCAGGCAGTCTATTGTAACCTTGGTTACTCTCTCAGCAGTGGAGATCTGAATGGGGACACATACAATGACCTTGTCATTGGAGCTCCATTCGCGCCTGTAGTTAATGGAAGTGCACTCCGGGGATTTGTAGGCGCCATCTATGCTAAATCAGTCTACCAAAAAGGTTGGTAATTTTGGGGGAGTTTAGCTTTGTAATACTAAAGTACTGGAGAAGTACTGTAAATTAATGGCCCATAAAAACTGAACTTTATAGTCATCAATAATATACTATGCCTGTTAGTTACCAAACCTATCAGATATCAAATAAATTTTACTAAAAAATAAAGTGCTCCATTTCATATTAAACTATAAATATAATGATAAATGCACCAATATAATGACAGTCCAAGAAGACCTGTAACTGATATACCAGGTTGTATAGAATACAGTATGTATGTTTATATTTTTGAAGGCCACGTCTCTTTGACAACTTTAGACTTTGATTGGAGAGTAGATGGGGAACAGGATTATTCCTGGTTCGGCTATGATGTCAAGGTCAAGAAGACAAGTCTCAGTGGAATGTGGGTCATGGTTGGAGCCCCTACATACAGAAAATGCCAAATGTAAGCTATAGAGAATTGCAAATCCTAATTACTGTTTCATATTTCAGTCAAATGAGCATGGCATAAGTGTTTAGAAAACACTCCTTTTCTGCAAGTATTAGATTGTGTTGTTTGAAGACAAAAGTTTACAAATTTATCATCAATGTGGATGAATAATACCCGAGACAGCCATGTGAGAACTCACATTGTTTTCTATGAGAGCGTTTGCTCAATTGAACATGTTTCTAAATACTTAATGTGATGAATATTCACATTACATTGTTGGTGTAAAGGACTGAAGTTGCTAAACAAGCACTTTCCAATTTGCTAGTGTTTAAAACCCTGTTCAGTTGATGTAAATGGGAAAGAACTCTAGATATGAGTGATACGTGTTCATTCGGATTAAAATAAGAAATGTATATCCCTTTTGTGTTAAAAAACATTACAATACTTCTTAATGAAAATGTTTATTTATGTCATAAAAACAGTTGATACTAAAAAGTTACATACACAAGAAACAGTATGTGATTCATTTACTCCAAAAGATAAAAGTGCATTTTTCAATTTCAAAGAGTTATAGAAATTCCAAAATGAGCTAAAATAAGTTATAGATTGTTGAAGGAAAGTTGGAGATTTGACATAACTGTATTTTCAAGTAGGTGTCCAGGCCACTATAAACATGTTTTGTTATGTTTCAGTCCAAATTGTACATTTTCTGATGAGGATACCCAGAGTGTAGGGAAGTTTTATGTGTACCGACCACCCTCTCTCATCCATCTATTTGAAGGGAGGGAGGAATTCAGCAACCTTGGACACAGTTTCTCTGTTGGGATGCCTTACGAGAAATACACAGATATGTTGGCTATAAGCATGCCCAGCAACTGTAAGTTTATATTAGCAACTATGTAACTTCTACAGGCCCTTAGCTAGCTTTTGCCAAGCGGGGTTGACTTTCTGAAAAAATCAAGGAGGTTCACATTTGACTAAAATCAAGCGAAAACTGCTCTAAATGGTGAAATACTGCATGATTTTGAAATTATCTTTGAATGTTTATCTCAGATAGAACAGTAAGTGGCTTTATTGGTACCTCTACCGTCATAGGCTTTGGTGATAAGAATTAGAAGTTTGAAAATAGATGTCAGTGCAGTTCACCTGTTTATAGAGAATAATGACATATGAGATACCTAAATGTAATATCATCTTAATATTGATTGAATCTTATGTCCAATATTGCATTTTTTCATTGGGAGTGGTGGTCTTATATTATAATAGTAATAAGTATAAAACATTAGGTAAATTCAAGACATTTCAAAGAATTTTCCAAGTTGATTTTTCACATTTGTGTCTCTATTTTCTTAGCTGTTTCTGGTAGTGTGTTAGGTTTACCAGTAAGCGTCACACAAGCTGGTACTGTCCTCATGTACAATGTCTCTAGACTACTATCTGATGACAAGTATCTTGTTGCTACATTCTCTGGTGACAGGCGCTATGATAGGTTTGGGCACCATCTACAGGTATGACCCTTAAAAGAAAGCTGTCATATTCTCTGTAATTAGTGGAGGGGACAGTTAGAAAATTCAAAATATCTACTTCAGAGTTCAGACCATTCTATAAATAACCATCCATGTATACCTACAAACACTGAACATTTTTACTTGGCAAAAAATGATCAATATACACAGGTTTTACTGTACAACTCTGTTTAGTTGTATTGTAGATTAATACTATGCTGTACAAATTATACAATTGAAATTTAGTAAGCATCGGTGTTTGTGAAAGTGTGATATATATAATTATTAGTATTGCTTCATTATTATGTGTACAAAACTATAAAAGTTACACAAAACTACAAAAATTATAAAAACACAATTCATTAGAATGAATACATTATCAACTTTATCACATGTTATTTCAAATGAGCCACTCCCAGGATCCTCAAACTAACCATGCAATGTTATCAGCTGTTGTGTTATATTCCAGTTCAGTGATATAGATGGCGATGGTTTAGATGACCTGATCATCACTGCACCCCTGAGAACGGATGACATCACAGGGGAACTTTATGGAGGTATGGTATACAGTAAAACTCGATATGCGTTAGAAGAACATTTTAAAGTTTGATATTTTGAAATAATGTTCAAATTAGGAGGTGTTCTACCAACAAAGGTGTTCCACTTTGAAGGTTTTACTGTATTTGTTCTATGAACCTAGATTCATTAGTATCGCATCAAGTTTCCATTCACCCCTCTAATGATGAGCACGATGCCTTGAGGCTTGACTAATGGATTATTATGAATGAGACTGATGAGTCAGCATTCCCAGGTGGACAGCGGTTCCCCTTTCACGAATACTAATCTCTATTCAGATTTAAGAAACACACTTCCATATTGCAGACTGTCTGGTCGTTTCAAAATCCAAAAGGAAAGTGAAAAACTTTTGCTTAATAGCCAACATCTTCCAGATGTGGCTTTGGATGGAGTAACAGAAGCGTTCAAATGAACTAGTCTGTGGTACAGGCACACTACATGTAATTGTATGCTTACTAGTACAGCACTACATGTATAATGGGATAATGTGTTTTTTAGCTGAGGAAGGCAGAGTCTATATCTACATGTCCAATTATGATCGCTTCCCAGAATTTAATTCTACAACCACAGACTGCCCTCAGATGTCGCTAGTAGTACCTTGCCCCCAGCACTCAGTAAGTTGATCTTACCAAGGATTTTTCCAGCAGTTCATTTTCTGAAATGTCGTTGTCTTTCAATATCGTACCTCCACGACAGGAACAAAAAGAATGAAATTGATTTCAATCTAAAAAATATGAGAAGTAGGAATGGTACATGGATATTCATAAGCTGTTACTGCAATAAGATTTTTCTGCATTGTTTTCTGTAGCATTCAAAATGGGTTGTCTCATCATCAATGCAAAAGCTTTTGATTGGTCAAGAGCCTTGGCCTAACTGACATTTATAGAACTATTCACACTATGTACATGTATATATGTTGTCTGAATGTAAGATTGTGTGTCCTTTGCTATTCCAGGCCACCTATGAATTACGTTATGGGGAAGAGCAAGCTAGATTTGGTAGTAATGTTGCTGTTGTTAAATCACCAGGGAAACAAGTAACTATATGAATACATACATGAAACAAATAGTCTTGCATCTGACTTGTTCTCTGTCCCCTACTCACTGTCACTCGCTACTCACTGATTCAGTAACTTCACAACTGAAACCACAATTAAGTATTGAGAATTAGAAATTTAGATTCAGTATCTAATGCAGTGTTTTGATTGGTTCAGGTATAAGTTTTACTTCCACCAATCATAAAGACTGTACTGGTCCTGTTCCAGTTTCCATGATACATAATTTATTGTTAATGGAGAACAAGAATGGAGAACAAGCCTTGATGCAAACTAGAAAATAAAATTTTATAAAATCAAAATAGCACCGTATTCTGTAATGTTCTGAACTTCAGATATACATTATATCATCCACAAAGAATTATGTCAAACATGAAAATTGACTTTTTCAGAAAAATGTTTTTTTTTAATTAGAGCTTTTTAATTGTATTTTGATTTTTTGAGTAGTATTAGTAACACAATATACATATATGTACTAGTATATGTTTGCTTTCAGGCCAAAGTAGCAGTGTCAGCCCTACATAGCAGTCTTGGAGCTCGCATGTCTGGTGTGATAGCAATATACTCATTCCCATAGCAACTGTTGAAGTAGTGTCAATCTTACAAGTCTTGAAGCAGGCATGCCTGTTGTCATGCAAGTATACTCATTCCCATGGCAACTGTTGCAGCGTCAGTCTTACATAGCAGTCTTGGAGCAGGCACATCTGTTCTCACACAAGTATACTCAATTCCATAGTCGGAGTGTCAATCTTACAATGTAGTCTTGGAGCAGGCATGCTTGGTGTTATACAAGTTTACTTGTGTCAATCTTACATTACGAGATAGCAGTCTTCGGAGCAGGTACACTTGTCATGCAAATATACTCAATTCCATAGTAAATGTCGGAGTGTCAATCTTACATTGCAAACTTGGAGCAACAGGCTTGTTGTTGTTGTGCAAGTATACTCATTTCCATAGCAACCATATAGATGTCAATCTTACAGGAATCTTGTAGCAGCAGGCATGCTTGTTGTTGTGCAAGTATACTCATTTCCATAGCAACCATATAGATGTCAATCTTACAGGAATCTTGGAGCAGCAGGCATGCTTGTTGTTGTGCAAGTATACTCATTTCCATAGCAACCATTTGAGTGTCAATCTCACATAGCAGTCTTTGGGCAAGATACTCATTTCCATAGCAACTGATGGAACATCAATCTTACATTGCAACCTTGGACCAGTCATGTCTTTTGTTATTCAAGTATACTCATTCATGTTGCTTTGTTGCTTCTAGTAATGTAGCCTTGGAGCAGGCATGCTTGGTGTTATATAAGTATACTTGTGTCAATCTTACATTAGATAGCAATCTTGAAGCAGGCACACTTGTTCTCATACAAGTATACTCATTTCCATAGCAACCATATAGATGTCAATCTTACAGAAATCTTGGAGCAGGCATGCCTGTTGTTATGCAAATATACTCATTTCCATAGCAACCATTTGAGTGTCAATCTCTCATAGCAGTCTTTGGGCAAGATACTCATTTCCATTGCAACTGATGGAACATCAATCTTACATTGCAACCTTGGACCAGTCATGTCTTGTGTTATTCAAGTATACTCATTCATGTTGCTTTGCTTCTAGTATACCATTTTGGAATCATATGTAAATGTTATATTAATTGCATAAGTATTATATAGCAATATTCTCATTTCAAAAGAGCTGGTTCTCTGTTGAGCTGAGTGATATATAGATAATTACTAAATGTATACACTGTTCTCATATGTAGACAATCCATTACCCTTGGAGACACTTGTGCAATAATTGCGGTTCTTGTCTTAGATGAAATGAGTTCATTATATTGTATTGTACCGTGTAGTAGTCAGAATTTTATAATAAGGCTAATATGAGTATTATTTAAGATTATCAAGAATAATTCATTTATATGCATATTTTACAATGTTACCATGTTTGAATGTATTTTAGTACTAGGGATCTGATACCTCCTTAGGAATGCTCAAAAAGTAGTCTACAGTAAAACCTGTATATCTGAACACTTGACTAATCCGAACACCTCCCAAGTCCCAATTTGAACAACCTTCTGTTCCTGTTTCTTCTCCCATTGACTCCCATACTAATTTAGTAAAGTACCTTGGAATTTGAAGAACCATGAACATTAGGAAAAGAACTGTTTAACATGTCATTGAATACTCTTTATAAAATATCTTGGTATTATACAAAATCCCTTAATGCTTTTAGCCAGTCCCTTAATGATTGTTGCCAGTCCAAAGGGCATTCAGATTAGACAAGTTTTACTGTATGTAATTATATTTTTCTTACTGTGATAGTGCAATATGTGAGCGAATATAACATGTATGTTTAACTGAACTGGCGGAGTTTGGAAGTTTTGTTATAATGTGTAATTATCTGTATTTTTAATTTATTTTTAAAATGAAATAAACACATATTTGTATACAAACAATGCCTTTTTACATATGTTAACATCTACAGAATGATGTAGTTTCTGATAAACACTAGACTAGGCCTACCTAATGTAGTCTGAAATGTACACTAGGTCTACCTTAATGTGGGTTGAGATGTACACTAGGTCTACCTTAATGTAGTCTGAAATGTACGCTAGGTCTACCTTAATGTGGGTTGAGATGTACACTAGGTCTACCTTAATGTAGTCTGAAATGTACACTAGGTCTACCTTAATGTGGGTTGAGATGTACACTAGGTCTACCTTAATGTAGTCTGAAATGTACGCTAGGTCTACCTTAATGTGGGTTGAGATGTACACTAGGTCTACCTTAATGTAGTTTGAGATGTACACTAGGTCTACCTTAATGTAGTCTGAAATGTACGCTAGGTCTACCTTAATGTGGGTTGAGATGTACACTAGGTCTACCTTAATGTAGTTTGAGATGTACACTAGGTCTACCTTATCTGGGTTGAGATGTACACTAGGTCTACCTTAATGTAGTTCGAGATGTACACTAGGTCTACCTTAATGTAGTCTGAAATGAACACGAGGTCTACCTTAATGTAGGTGAGATGTATACTAGGTCTACCTTAATGTAGTCTGAGATGTATACTAGGTCTACCTTAATGTAGTCTGAAATATACGCTAGGTGTACCTTAACGTAGTCTGAGATGTACACTAGGCCTGCCTTAATGTAGTCTGAAATGTACGCTAGGTGTACCTTAATGTCGGTTGAGATGTACACTAGGTCTACCTTAATGTAGTCTGAGATGTACACTAGGTCTACCTTAATGTAGTCTGAAATGTATACTAGGTCTACCTTAATGTGGGTTGAGATGTACACTAGGTCTACCTTAACGTAGTTTGAGATGTACACTAGGTCTACCTTATCTGGGTTGAGATGTACATTAGGTCTACCTTAATGTAGTTCGAGATGTACACTAGGTCTACCTTAATGTAGTCTGAGATGTACACTAGGTCTACCTTAATGTAGACTGAGATGTATACTAGGTCTACCTTAATGTAGTCTGAGATGTATACTAGGTCTACCTTAATGTAGTCTGAAATGTACACTAGGTCTACCTTAATGTAGTCTGAAATGTACACTAGGTCTACCTTAATGTAGTCTGAGATGTACACTAGGTCTACCTTAATGTGGGTTGAGATGTACACTAGGTCTACCTTAATGTGGGTTGAGATGTACACTAGGTCTACCTTAATGTAATCTGAAATGTACGCTAGGTCTACCTTAATGTGGGTTGAGATATACACTAGGTCTACCTTAATGTAGTCTGAAATGTACACTAGGTCTACCTTAATGTAGTCTGAAATGTACACTAGGTCTACCTTAATGTAGTCTGAGATGTATACTAGGTCTACCTTAATGTAGTCTGAGATGTATACTACATGTAGGTCTTCCTTAATGTAGTTGGAAGAAATACATTTAATTTACCTTAATGAAATCTCAGATCAGCACTTGGTTTATCTTGTGCAATCATCATGGTATACCATGGCCCTATCTTCTTGCATCATAGATCGCCATGGAATTTAGTATAGGGCACTTTCGATTTAGAATTGGTGAAGTCAACGGATGAATCAAATTTGTTGTAACAAACACGTGATTTAAACATCAATTATTAAAAGAAATTCTCAATAAACTGCATAGCAACGGTGTTGTTCGTACAAATGAATTCTTATAACATTAGAAATGATCATCATATAAAATATTGAGAATTTAAGGAAACACAAAGGCATTTTATTTTTAAAAGTATGTCAACTTTTTTTATGGGAAGCCCGCCTACTCGATCAGCAGGATTGGCACAGAAAATCAGAGCAACTAAAGACAGACAGGTTTTTTTAGATGCTATGTGTCAGAATGTTGTGCAATAATCTATTGTAATCTAGTCTCTTGAAAATCGTCCCATGATTTTTGAGATATTTTAGGTCCGGTCATATTTCTTATAGATCTCTATTGTATGAATTTTCTAAACATTTCAAAATTCTAAGACTTACACGGCTTCAAATATCTTGAAGACCTTTAATCAATAGATTTTTATATCGGAATATTTTCAGATGCTGAATTCAAGATCTTCCCGCTGGTTGTAATACTGTAAAAGTCTTGAGATTCCATTACAATTTATTCATTATTCAAAAGAAAATAATTCAATATAGTAATCTTCAATATTTTTATTAACTTTTTTATTTCAATAAAATAGTATACAAATATCTTCATGTAAAGTACATGCCTCAATACTCCATTGTAGAAGCAGGTCACTACATTGATACTTCATGATGCTTTAGAGACATATTGAACTTGAACCAAAATCATAGAAACATTGCATAGAAAATATATATTGAGCATATTTTCAGCACATTCTCTGCATAGAACAATATTACAGAGTCACAGTACATCTCTTACATGCATTAATTAAAAATTAGTTGGCAATAATTTTACAATAGACAAGTTTTACTTTAGCTAATGACATATTAAACTGAATTCAAAATGACACAAATTAAAGGAAAATACATGTATGCTGGGTGCGACATATGACCCTAACTTACTACTCCTAGTCTCTTAAATAAAAAACATATGTCTAGTCTTGTGACCACATCGTACAAAAATTCCATAAACAGAACTTGACCCACATTTGCAATATTACATTAAAGTGCATATTTTAAGTGAAATTATTCAGTTGCTTCTAAACATCAAATAATTTCACTATCATGAATGAACAAGACATGTAGGGCATAATTAAACAAGACATTAACATGCAAAATGTCACAACCTGCCATTTGTTACAGACATCGACAATCAGACTCTATCACAAAAGTTGGAGACAGTAATAATATACCACTTTTGGTAGTGACATAAAAATGATTGATTAGCACACAGTATTTGCAGCTATTGTATAAGCATAGTGGCACTGTTGAAGTCAAACAAGGTGCCCTATCATGTCCAACTATAAAAAAACGATGGAATTAACATAAATATTTGTTTTCTACTGGATGGTAACGAAAAGTGTTCTCCCAAACCCAGCTTGTAGTTGACAATATTTCAAACAACTACTTTACAACACAAATCTATTCAAAACTAGCACGTTGAAATCTTTCATAAATATTGAATTCTTCATGAAAACATCAAAATTTTCTAGACACTCACCCTCTATTAACAACATCTATGAATTAAAGTATACACTAAATAATGTAAAAAAACAGAATGGTATTGAAAAATAACTTCGCAAAATTTTTGAAAATGTCATTTGAAATCATACAAACTTAAGAACAAATCTTTAATTCTAATGTTTGTTACCTTAGGTAATTTAAAATTAGAAAAAATGACATCACAATAAATAGAATTGAACTGGAAATAAGATTCACTATATCAGGGCCACCAAATGGAATTTAAAAAGTATTTTTAGTTTTTATTATTTTCAGTATATCAAAAACCTCTCTCTCTGATAACTCTACAAAAGGACCAAAATCTCAAAAATTGGCAAATGGCTGAATAAAAAAATCAAAGCGCATATTTTTACCACTCAATCATTTTGCAATCAATTTCGTTTTTTCAATTAAACATAGTTTTTTCTCATTTAGAAAGCACTTCTCATCATTAGCAATGGCTGGATACTTAAATAATAAATAAATATACTATTAACTATTTGTTTAAGGACACAGAAGTTCAGCTATGTACAGTGTACATGCAACATTTACAAAATGAGTGCTAAAAATTTCTATTACATATTTTGAGAGTACTTGTAATTATAAATTTCCGTATGAAATAAAGTAGTAGTAATGGATCTATAAATAATAAGACTCTGGTCTAAATATATATATATATAGTTATATTATCTGTATGCTTATAACATAACGTTTTACATGTTTTGAGCATATTATCACCCCCATGTAACAGTTAAACAAAATACCCCTTTCATATTGATATCTGTACAAATGCTTATTTTGATTAGCAGGTACATGGGAGAACTTTTTGACATAACCCCATTGGTATTTTGCTATACTTGCACCATACACATGTAAGTATAGAATAATATGGTCCAAGTCTACAGCATTCCTTTGACCATTAGATCATACCATTTAATAATTTTCATTGATCACGCAAACTTTACATGTATAGATCATTGGAAAGAACATAACTTTAAACACCAAAACAGAAAATATTGGCCCCATACAAAGTTAGGCTCTAATTGTTGTAAATAAATTCTATAACTGAACATTGTTGTTAACTTTCAAACTCCAGCTATTATTTGAACCATCAGGTATACTGGTAACATGCTGGTGTCTGGTAACATGCTGGTGTACTGGTAGCATGCTGGTGTACTGGTAGCATGCTGGTGTACTGGTAGCATGCTGGTGTACTGGTAACATGCTGGTGTACCGTTAACATGCTGGTGTACTGGTAGCATGCTGGTGAACTGGTAACATCCTGCTGTACTAGTAACATGCTGGTGTACTGGTAGCATGCTGGTGTACTGGTAACATCCTGGTGTACTGGTAACATGCTGGTGTACTGGTAACATGAAGGTGTACTAGTAACATACTGAAGTAGAAGTAATATCCTGGCACACAGGTAACATGTCTCGATAAACCAGAAGCAGGCTACTGTAGTGACATACTGGTGTATGAATAGCATGCTGGTGTACTGGAAGTATATACCAGTGTACAGAGAGTACATTACAGCCCTCATGGCACAATGCGAGATCCAATGCAAAGACACTGTAGTTACTTTTAATTTATACTCATATAAATACCCTATTTCAACAACCCCACCCAAACCTGCTACTCAACCAGACTCTTCATATCTTTTATATCATATGTATCAAACAGGTCTGATATGCCCTCAGCGTGTGCATCTAGGGCAAAGTTAAAGTCTTCCTCAGATAAAGGTGGTTCTAAATGCACAAAATCTGAGTGTTGGTCCTCAGTCTGTGGCAGGAGATTGTCCATATGGTGAGATATATCTTGTTCCTCCAAGAGGGCATTCCGCACTTTGCTTTTATCATCTGCAAATACATATAAAATGGAAATTGTTATCATTGATCGTTAACTTTAATTTTATATACAAGTAAATCAAAGTGTATGATTGTTCATAATCATGCAGGTTTTTGCGGTTAACAGCTACAGCTGAGAAAACACAGGAAAAGGGGTCTTATCACAGATTTTTCAATGTTTTTTGTTGTTGTTAATCTTAAAAAGCACAAAAAGACCTTTCAAATGAGCCATGACTTATGACTTAACGATTTTTCCTTGCATATTTAGACCAAAAAGTCGGATTTTAATTTAGCACATTTTCCTCTTAATCTTGGGCACATATTTGGCTCTGTAGCACAATTTTAATTTTTGTGATAAGACCGGTTTTCCCATGGCCAGGCTCATGTCTGTTTGTAACGAGAGTTTTTTGCAGAAATGTTAAGTCTAGAACCTAATGCTAAAATGCAGTTTGAAAGCTCAAAGCTTACATAAAACAAATGATCAAATTAGTTCCTTTATGTTCTCATGTAGATACTCACCTTTGTAGCTATCTGTGGAATCTTCTGAGCTAAATGAACTGTTGGAGTTGTCTTCTGTCCCGCTATTTTGTGGAGTACCATCCTCTGGACATAAGTACACCTCTATTTGACCTTGAGTGCTTTTCAACCAGATCTGTATACTCTGTAACAACAGAAAAATGTGTTAGCTTTCCAATGATACAATATCAGTAACATCAAGATCAATGTGTTAGCTTTCCAATGATACAAAATCAGTAACATCAAGATCAATGCCTTAGCTTTCCGATGATACAATATCAGTAACATCAAGATCAATGTGTTAGCTTTCCAATGATACAATACCAGTAACATGAAGATCAATGTGTTAGCTTTCCAATGATACAACATCAGTAACATCAAGATCAATGCCTTAGCTTTCCAATGATACAATATCAGTAGCATCAGGAGCAATGTGTTAGCTTTCCAATGATACAATATCAGTAACATTGGGAAAATGTGTTGGCTTTCCAACTTTAATATTACATGGTATAGCAAACATCCTTTAGCCACCCTGAACTTAAATATTTTATCCTTGACAAACAAAGGCAATTGTGGCATTAGTATGTTCATCTATATAATACCCCTGAAATGTAGCCAGAAAGGGTAGGTGAAACTTGCCTACCCCTAAAAGAATCAGACCGCCAGTATCTGTCGGTCTGGTGTATAAGTCAAACACTGCATTAGATATAAATAATTTTTGAAATACGTACATCTGAGGGGTCTGGGACTTCTAGTTTGGTCTCTGGGGGAGCTTTAATGGCGACAACAGTCTGTTCTTCAAATGACTGTATTCCACGTATATCTGTATATGTGACGTACGCAGCTTTGGCATTTTCTTCATCTTCCGTAAGCATCTTTAACTGAAGGCTACAGTTACGGATCAACTCATCCACTTTATTCTCTTTTGCTTCAAGGTCAGCTATATCTATAAATAGTAGAAAATATTTTTGATCATAGAAAGCTTTGTCATAATATAGAAGCTATATTATGTATTGTATTAACAAAATCAAGACAATTGCTGTACTTCTACTTAATTTGGTGCTACTTATTTTGGGGTATAGCTGTTTTGAACATTTGGCGGCTACTTGTAATATTGACAAAATTGGTGGATTTGCAATGTTGAAAAATCTGGGCCGGTGAATTCGTACGATCCGCGATCCGATCCGGATAAATTTCGTCATGGTAATGATGCATTGTGGGATTAATCCAAGAATTTATCCAAAAATCGGTGAATTCGTACGATCCTCGGATTAATCTCAGGATAAATCTCAATCCACCTCTTGAGGTGGATTACTTTTTGGATAAATTTTATCCGAATTCCAATGCAAATTGGATAAATCTTGGGGATTCCCCCTAATAATCCTCGGATCGTACGAATTCACCAAATCATAATCCGGATTAGTAATCCAAGATTTATCCCAGAAGATAAAATTTATCTGGATTGGATTGGGGATCGTACGAATTCACGGCCCCTGGTGAAAAAAAATACAAGGTGACCCCAAAAATGCAACCCATTAATTTTGAAACAACTCTCGATTATGGTGGACTCTTCTTGAAATTTCATGAGTGGAACAAACAATAGTCAAACATATATAGCAATTCCAAAATTAGGTTTGGTTTGGATCTCACTCTGTAGATACCTTTAATTCAGAAATGTAACTTAGAACAAACTAAGGCCTTATCGCTAACCTGAGTGCAGATCTACATGTTGGGCACTGACTCCTACAGATTGGGTTCCTAATGGTGTGACACTGCTTCCACCTCTGAAACATTAATACATCAAATGTTAATAATGTGGCTCACTCTGTACAGGTTGGGGATATTTATTCAACCATTAACAATGTGGGATAGCATGTATAGGTGATGGGAATTTATGAAAACAATTACCAACAAAGAGGTTATGTGACACACGTTTTGGAGAACTTGTGTGTAACATCTCTCAGATATTACTGTGCCCTTTTCACTTGGTTAAGTACATAAAAAATTTTCCTTGGAGCTTCATACGCAGCCAGGCATATTATGGCCACCAAGGGTAAAAATGATACCTTGGTCACCATGATTTCACACTAGTCAAAGCTTCATGTTGAACTAAAAATACTGGCCTATACGAGGAGGGGAGTGTTTAATTAACCATTTAAGTAAGTGATCATAAAAGGTGATATGGGGCATTGTTATGTAAGTTTGTTTGATTTTAGGTTCGAAGATTGTTGATTGAAATACTTTACATTGATAAGACCCTTAGGTTAGGCCAAGAAAGGATACGGGTCAATCTTTTATCTCTAATAAAAATAATGTGAGTACTATAAGGAGGGATATGAAAACCAAATCTACTAAATATCCTAGCCTTAGGAGGCAGTATAAGTAGGTCATTTACGTTAACGTGAAGGATATTTCTTAAAAGTTATCTATTAAACATTAACTCAAGCAAAAGCAAACATTGTCCATATAATATTTAACTGGACTAATTAGAGACACCGTTTACATTTTATCCATATTACACTTTTCATATTGCAATAATATAAGCTTCTGAACTTTACCATCGATATACCTCCCTTCCCTTGATTTCACATTTAACATTTGATAAATAGATGAGTTGCTCCAAAAAACAAATCCCCAGCACACTATACGAAAATGGACATACGAGGTTACATGTGCAGAACAATAATATAACTTATGTTTGTATAACTAAAATGTTTCACTTACTTCCATTGTATATTATTTTTTGATTTTTTCACTATCAGGTTGATTCCCTCCAGTACATTAGTAATATCATATATTCTCCGCTTTTGGACATCTAAATATTCTGCTGCTTTGTTCAAATCTAGCACCTGAAGAAGAAAAATTTGAAACAATTATTTAAGGTCTTTCAGGCTCTCGTGGGTCGGTTTAAAGCCCTAGTATTTCAGTGGTGTTGATATACACCCCCCTCCATAAGTATGACAACAAGCAGCCCTCATTTTAGAATACTGATGAAATTGTGATAAATAGTGACAAACTCATCCAGAGAATAGCATGCAAAACTTTCTAGCATGGATATACCAATTGAACTATTTTCACATCAAATCAAATTCCTCTCTTTTTTATCAAAAATACATGTATGTTAACAAATCCGAGCCACAGTTAAATTTAAGGTTAGAGGGTATTTACTTCATATCAAAAATTCAATCACGAAAAATAAAATTGTGTTCTTCTGAAAAAATCGCCACAATGTGGGAGAATTGTTAAAAATACACCAGTTTCAAAATGTGTTTTAAAGGGTGACGCATATCGTTTAGCAAATCGAACGCTCGTTTCTGGTGTTGCTCACCGTTTAGTATAAAAGGCCCGATCCCGGAATAATACTCAAGGGTTCACAGGTTTGAGGTCGTTGTGTCAACACCTCTAACTGTTATATAGCATAAGTATATTATAGATCGTCACACATTTATAAAAGGGTGATTTTTATTTTGACAAATCAATTCCACATTTATGGGCGAAATTTCAGGATCATCTATTTGTGTATAATAAGGAAAAATTGGCATCTAAATTTCCCCATAACGTAATAGCACACAACTTGGCATATGAAATATCTTACAAATGAAACAAAGCAAGACAATCCGGTTTCTAATGCAAGGATTTTAGCTGTTGTACATGTATTCTTTGAACGCAATCACTCTTTGGATAACGTTTTCAAAATCATTATAAACGGATTACTTTATCTCAAAGACAATTTCAATAAACTGGATTTTACAGAACTCCCCTTATTTCTTAAAAATGGACTGATCCAGTTGATTCGCCTAGAGCCGCCATATTGTTTTTATACGGGATGCTAATCGGAACCCTCTAAGCAAAACAAATAGCAGACAAAATTAACAAGATTTTCAAAAATTTACAGTCTTTTATGATTTTATTCTTAGATTCCATTCAAAGGATCAAATAGAAACAGAACTCCTCATGAAAAGAATGAGATGTGATAGACTTTGAATGCAAACTAAATGTACATGTACATATTTACTTATTCTAAATATACATGTACATTGTGCATACACCAAGTGTAATGTGGAGCTATTTAAAGTTTAGAATCCATAGAAACTTGATAAACATATAAGATCAATGCATACAAACCCAGGTATTAATCCTATTTATGTAACAGTTAAGACGAATTCAAAATTTGCAAACAATGAAAAGTAATCATGAAAGCCACTTTGAAAATGAAATAACAGGATATTTCTAAAATGGCATAAAAGGTCTTATATCCATGGAGATTTTCTTTTATTTGATTCAAATTAATTCAATTGAAATGAATGAATGATTGTTGATTGATCTCAGCAATTGTGCACACATGTAATGTAAAAATATTGGATTGATCTACTTTTTAGATTAATAGGGCACCTTATAACAATGCTGAAACCTTGGGATTTAAAGGTCCAAATAGTTAAGCTTAAGTAATTGTAATCCTGCCAAAACTGTAATTCTGCTCAATTAAGAATAGCCCACATGGGTCATACAGAGTTTAAACCTAACAAGTTATGTTAAGTATTATGCAATCATGCATGAAATTGATTGTTATCCAGAAATGAATCCATATAAAAATGTTCATAAATTTGACATCTATTCTTTTGCAAAGTTTCTGATTCTGATGCAAAACTTAAGTTGTTTCAACTTTATCCTGTTGATCAAAAATGAAAAGTTGATTCAAATACAAAATTAAAGATGTTATCATGAATACAAAAACTACATGTGAAGATCAAACCACTTGGGTTATACAAAATTTTATTTGTTCAACATATCATTTGATTAATTAGGAGTAATTGATAGGATGTTTATCCTAAATATCCTGTATTTCTGTAACAAAATCTTGTCATCCTACACTCAACAATTGAACTGATAAGCTCAAATGCTAAGAGTTAAAAGTTTAAATAAGGGCATTCTATTCAGGTATGATTTGGGAACATTTACTCATATTTATTTAGGAGTTATACTGAAATCAATCTGTTATAGAAGTGTTGTTAATACTGTTGGGAAATGAAGAGAAAACCTTTTCCTAATGTTTAGAACTAAGAGTTAAGCCTTGCCTATTATTGAGAATGAGATGAAAACTCTTGCCTATTATTGAGAATGAAGTGAAAAACCTTGCCCAATGTTGAGAATGAAGTGAAAAACCTTGCCTAATGTTGAGAATGAAGTGAAAAACCTTGCCTTATGTTGAAAATGAAGTGAAAAATCTAGCCTAATGTTGAGAATGAAGTGAAAAACCTTGTCTTATGTTGAGAATGAAGTGAAAAACCCTGCCTAATGTTGAGAATGAAGTGAAAAACCTTGTCTTATGTTGAGAATGAAGTGAAAAATCTAGCCTAATGTTGAGAATGAAGTGAAAAACCTTGCCTTATGTTGAAAATGAAGTGAAAAATCTAGCCTAATGTTGAGAATGAAGTGAAAAACCTTGTCTTATGTTGAGAATGAAGTGAAAAACCCTGCCTAATGTTGAGAATGAAGTGAAAAACCTTGTCTTATGTTGAGAATGAAGTGAAAAACCCTGCCTAATGTTGAGAATGAAGTGAAAAACCCTGCCTAATGTTGAGAATGAAGTGAAAAATCTAGCCTAATGTTGAGAATGAAGTGAAAAACCTTGCCTTATGTTGAAAATGAAGTGAAAAATCTAGCCTAATGTTGAGAATGAAGTGAAAAACCTTGTCTTATGTTGAGAATGAAGTGAAAAACCCTGCCTAATGTTGAGAATGAAGTGAAAAACCTTGTCTTATGTTGAGAATGAAGTGAAAAACCCTGCCTAATGTTGAGAATGAAGTGAAAAACCTTGCCTAATGTTGAGAATGAAGTAAAAAACATTTAATTGAAAATGCCTTACCCCATCTGGAGATGACCTCAACAGTCCAACAAACTTTTTAGTAAGCAAGCCAAGTGATGTGTCATATCTGGTCTTCTCAAGTGGTGACTTCACTGCAATGTACATAAGATTATACATTATTTATTGCATTCATAATACATGTACACACATTCAATCAAAAAATTATTATATTTTTGCATACCTTTCATGTCTATAAATTCAGAAAATACTTCGATTTTGATTTTCCTTGAAATATTCATGATAATCTTAAGATTTTCTGTCTGACAGTTTTGCAAAATCCCATCTCCACAATGAAATCTTGAGAGATCATTCACATATCAGTAACATCTGACAAAAAACCTTTTCGCAACATGAAGTCAATAGTACGCAAGGGGCTATCTTTATTGTAGATCTGTGACATATGTCATACCATGTTGTTTCTTAACTGGACCACCATGGCCTTGTTCTTTGGTTGCAATATTAACCATCTGTTGCATCTTACGCAAGCTCTTAACCTCATCCAGTACATCTGATTTGCGTTTCTTGCTCTTGAAGACATCCTTCAAGGTTGGTTGGAACGATTTTACATGAGCTTGCTTTTCCATCTGGTGGTTTCTTGGGCCTGTTGGCAGAGATTTCCCATTCAGATTCAGACTAGATGTTTTATTCAATTTGCTAGTTTCATTCTTATGTTTTGGTATAAGGTCCTCAATGGTCTGATTATAACCCATATTGAGCATGGTGTTGAGAACTGGTAAGTTTGAATTTGTTGTATTGTTGCTATGGTGTTGAGTATTCGGGGTGGTGTAACCTGGAAGAATCATTTGGTAACTGATGGCGGTTCCTAGATGTTGCGCCTGTGATGGGTCACATCCATTGAGTACCACTGGGTGTGATAGGGTATTGTTAATAAGATTGGTCTGCGCAATTCCAGGCATCATAAACACACCATTGTCAGTAGAAACACTTCCTCCTTTTGCAGTATTGGAGAGAATCCCAACTATGTTCTTGTATTTTACATCATCAGATGGCGATTGATTGTTCTGCGAATGTATAACATTCCCGAAGTTTCTAGTCGCACGCCTATTCCGTCCTTTCGCCATTGTAATTCGATTGTATCCTACACGATCAAAGTGTAGAAAATAATTGTTCCTGCTAAAACGCCAGTACACTTTTCCAAGAATGAACTAAAATTTCACTTTTTACTAAAACAGTCGATTCTAAAATGTTACTAAGTCACTTGCTCTTTGCAGTTTTATGTTGAGATCCCAAAAAATCTTCTTAAGGTTCGAGTCTTCACCAGCACTATTTGCTTCTGTATATTCTGCTAACCAAATGAATTCCACTTTCAGTATAGCACTCACAAACATATAAGACTCAAAGATAGGTCTGTCCCGAACTCTGAAATCCACCACTGAGTTGACGAGATGATAAGCAACAATTATCACATTCCCAAATCTATCAAAATCTAACACCTCTAGTATGTTACTACATTCACTCAGTGAACTCTCAAGATGTTTCCCCTAATCAGTGCTGTAGATAGGAGAATCTTTATTATTCATTGGCCTCTTAAATAATCTTTCCTTGTGTGTGCAGATGTGGACTGGTCCAGTTCTCCCTGGCAAGTGATTCCAATGTATTATATACATACATATGTACATATAAGCCTCTTAAGGTTTACTTATACTCTACATGTATTGATGCTTTATATAAGAATTCAAATATGCTAATTTTCATTTGTATGTATTAAGGCTAAACTTCTTACACTTAAAGCTAATATGCAATCAACTTGTTCCTCAAGCTGAGAAAAATGAACTAATTAGTATCTCTTAAAATGAGCCTCAAAGTACTAATTGCTAGGGAAGGTTTGCCAGTTCTCCCCATGAAAGTTGAAAAGCTCCCCCACCTGAGAAGTTACTCTAAATGTCAGACTGTGCTACCATGGTGTTAACAAAAATATTGTGCCAACTACGGTAAATTAACCAGCCACTAGTGACTGATTGCAAATATGACATTCTTAATTTTATCTTAATTCATATTTTAAAAAATTGCTTGGTGAATAATTGCATAATGTTTATTAAAGGCATTTCAACAAAATATACTGATATCCTGTAGATATTTCTTATCTGATTGGCTCACATAATTTTAATCTCCTCCAATCAGATTACAATTCAAGAAACAATGAATTCGTGAAAATCAAATTATATAGAAAAACAGAAATGAACATAATTAAAATTGTGTCCATAACTTAAATTGAAACTGCATATTTTAAAATCTTGATATCATTTGTGTTTAAGGAGATGATAATAATGCTCTTCTCAGTAAAGATAAGAGAGTCTAGGTTGCATTTAATCTGAAGTGATATTTCACTTGGAGCAATCTGATAAAAATAATAACACATGCCCCTGTGTTAAGTATGTCTGGTTATGTTCTAAGATTATAATGGAAGGTGTCTGCTGGGATTGGGTTGGGGGATGGGGGTTCTGGGGGAAGGGGGGAGGAATTCAGGGAAGGGGCGATTTGGGGGAGGGGGTGAGGCAATTCCTGTAACTATTTAACAACAGGTGTGTAACTCTCCTTACTAATTACGTCAATATTGATGTCATATCTTAATCCCTTTATCCACTTTTCTGAACTTTTTCCTTGATTGCAATTTTAATGTTCAAATGCTCTCTTTTATTTGGTTAATAAGAACAACAACAATTCTAACTGTTGACATAATTTGAACATGTTTTCTTTTCTTTAGTGTATCTGTAATGACTGTTCACATATTTCTACTTTGAAGCTCTTTACTCAAGCTCTGTATGTATGTATGAATATTGACTCTGGTCTATTATGAAATACCATGGCAACTTTCTTAACATTTGAACATGTTTTCTTTTCTTTAGTGTATCTGTAATGACTGTTCACATATTTCTACTTTGAAGCTCTTTACTCAAGCTCTGTATGTATGTATGAATATTGACTCTGGTCTATTATGAAATACCATGGCAACTTTCTTAACATTTGAACATGTTTTCTTTTCTTTAGTGTATCTGTAATGACTGTTCACATATTTCTACTTTGAAGCACTTTACTCAAGCTCTGTATGTATGTATGAATGTTGACTCTGGTCTATTATGAAATACCATGGCAACTTTCTTAATATTGAAGGCCCTGATCTAAGGCATCAAATAAGTTAATTTTGATTGTGAATTTGTGATCTTTTCCAAATCCTAATATGAACCAACCAAAGACAAGGTGAACTTAAGTGATGTTTCTTCTACAATGCCCTCTCCAGGATTTCCTAGAGTAATGTATAGTGCAGAATTGCAATTTTCAGTAAAATAGGGGAGTTTTTTATACAGTCCATCGTTTTAGGATTTTTGATTTTTTTGTAACACTTTACTATTTTTGGAATTTTAGTGAAAGCCCATTGAATTCTCCTTTTAGAGACAAATATGGGAATTAATCATAAGTGTTGTGTTGTCCTGCAATACTGTCAAACTTGTGTTGCATGACATCTCTCATTAAATGTCCAACTTATCTAGCATGCAACACTAGCTTTGAAACTGTGGGAAAAGATGAGAAATACCCTCTTGATCTTTAGTCCACGGGTATTATATCAGAAGATGTTGCATATTTTTAAGAAAGATATCAATGGGTTTAGGTTGACTTCAGGAGAGGGACCTTTAAGATAGGAATACAAACTGTCTCGAAGACACCAACAATATGATCAAATTCTGATATTTCACACTTCCTATTTTTCCAAATTTTCTTTCAAAGTTTCCAGACAACACAGGAGCTACCATTGACCTTTTTCCAGGTTTATTAAAAGTAGACAGTGTAATGATACTTTCCTGAAAAAAGCAAGGAAATACACATATGCCTTCATACTTAATTTTGTACCAGAAAATAACATGTGCAGGTATAGCAATTTTTTACCAAAATGTTACTTTCCAGCTGAGCCTTAAAGGCTTTAATTAGTTGTCTCTGGGTCTGTCTTCCATAAAATATCATAAAGGTATCGCACATAATAAATTGCAGTGGAACACCCTTGTGCCCTTCCTTCCATGGATAGTTCTTTTCAAACAACAAACTTAAATATTTCTTCATGTCCACAACTGGTTTCAAATTTTGCTCTAATCTGCTTTGGTTTAATTAAAGGATATTGGTATCATCATCTTGCTTCTAGTAGCTACTATTAAAGGGGCAACAAGGACTGTAGAGAGAAATTTTTTCTGAGTTATCAGGTCAATATTTGGCTTAACATCTTCTTTGACATACCTATTTTCTTAAAATGTATGGATAAACTATGAATTTCAGCATTAAGAAGTGTAAATTCAGTTCAAAGCTTCTATAAAGGGAGTCCCACTTATAGATTTTTGAGGTTCACCACGTTTCAAGAGGAATATCAGCTGAATTAATGTTCATCCAGGGGGTTTCTTTGTAGATAATAAAAATACATGTTAGTCTTGATGAAATATCCAAACTGAAATATATTCTGGTCGATGATCATTGAATGGCCTCCCCTGCACTAATTGTTGCACCTTTAATAAATAAGGCATTAACATGCACCACTTGTGGTGGTGTCATAAAATGAAAATATACTCACCCTTTGGGCTGTTACAGCCTGAATTGGTTCTCAGTCTTTTTCTGCCCTTTGGGGTTTTGAAACCGTCATTCTGATATACAGGCTCCAACTCCAGTTTACGCTTTGCCTACAAAGAAATATATTTTTACCATTTATGCATCATAAGTATTTAAACACATGTCATAAATAAACTGTGTAGATAGTTAATAGTTATCATTGTGTTCTCCACAGGATATTTTCTCAAGTTATTGCAAAATTCTAATTTTCACAATACAGACAAAATTGGTCATTTAATTTTTCATGATTTTACTCATTTTCGATTTTCAGGAGGGTGCAAGCCTGTTTTCAACATCTCAAGTGGGTGCTGCACCCACTTGCTTTAATGCTGTAGAGATGACTGGTTATTAATTCACATTATTCTAGCTATAATAATAACCAGTTGTCATGCAGCATCCTGCGTAGTAGACACCAGAGATCACGGTAGACGTTCGCCATTCGCCAATTGCGAATTTTCGAAAGAGGTGGCGAAAAATATGTAAAGGTATTTCGCAGTTATGGCGAATTAGAGGTGTCACGGCTTCCCGATATTGGACCGAATTTAGGTCCAGATGCTTCGGTTCGGGACATGGGACAGAAAGGGTTAATATCGGTACATAGATTCCTTCACTAAAATGCATAAAAACGTGTATAAATAGCGAGGAACACCTCCGATTTCGTTCTGAAATATTTTCACTTACCTCGTACCTAGATTACACTTCTTTGCATTGAAAAGTGTTATTAACGGACCCGCGATTTCAGGTAGATGGTAATGCTTGTTCGTAAATTTCTTCATCGTCGTTCGCAAATCTAGTGCATTATCAGTATGCCGGATGTAGGAAAGAAATTGAAAAATCGAGCCGGCATCTAAGTCGAAAAAGTCGGCAGTTTGGAAGTATTTTGGGACTCCGATATCACAAGGTAAACGAATTGGTAATATAACACCGTGCAGACTATGTGAAATGCCGATCACATTCGCGGCAGATGCTTTACATTCAATTTTAATGGACGTTTTTTTATTCCTGAATATGATTTTGAAAAGTGAAACTGAAAGTGAAACTGTCATCATCAGACATTTCATCATTTTTAATATTCTGTCCTGTCCCGTCCCGAAAGTAACGTGTTGAGACCATTTGTACCGTTCCGTACAGTACCGAAATTTTCTTGGACCGTGACACCTCTATTGCGAATTCCCTTTTTTACGGTTTTTCAAAATGGCTAATTCATATTTTGGTTGGCTAAAAATATTTTGGAAGATTTAGCCACAATGGCTAACAAGTTTTTTCAACTATCGTGATCTCTGTAGACACAATAACATATTGACTCATGAAGGAGAAAATCTTTACTTGCTTAAATGGGTGATTGCTGAATTGTGTTGTTTCATATATAATGTTGCCATTTGTGTTTTTAGTTTATATAAATAACTAAATTCATAGTTTAATTATAAACAAACACCTTCAGGGCTTTCATTAGCAGCATGCAACCGGCGATTTTCACCGGTTGTTTTCACAAAATCGCCTGTTGTTTTTAGGGATTTTTCAACTTTTCCATGTTTAATTTATGATTTCCATTAATATAACCTGTTGTTTTCATTTATATAGCCTGTTGTCGGAATTTCTAGTGAAACCCCTGCACCTCTCTTAATTTTTGATAAAACATATACATGTATGTCAACCAACAACACTAACACCAGTCACAAAAATGATAGAACTAGAACAATATGTCACCACTCCTTGTACAATATGTCACCACTACTTGATGGAATAATGGTGACACTACAGTCTAAACTAAAATAAAATAAAAAACTAAAAAAGATAAAAATGAACAGTCAAGAAAAGAACACAAAAAACAACATATTACCTCATCCAAGATTGAAACTCTAAACCTTGTCTTGAGATGCTATATATATATAGTAATATTAAATGAGAGTTGAAGACAGAAATGTTTTTAACAAAAATCATTGGTAATTTGTAAGAAAGCAGAGTAGTAATGTTGTATGACAACTCTTTTTTTCTAATGTAACCACAAAACTAATCTGCATCAAATCTTAGGTGATGTATTTAGGGGCTGGAGCAG